GAAAAGCAAAAAATCCCTAAAAAAAGTTTCAAAATTACGCATGACCTTGTCAATAAAATGATCCTATCGACGAAGTGAGTATGTCTAGGGAATAACTTTGCCGATTAAACGACCCTGTCGATGAAATGACCTTGTTCGTCGAAACGAGCCTGCCGACGAAATGACACTGTCGATGAAATGACTTGTTGGCGAAATGACCCGGTCGACGAAGCGATCCTATCGAGGAAATAGCCTGTCGACTAAATGACCTGGTCTATGAAATGGTCTGTCATTGAAGAGGTATCGATGAAATGACTTGTCGATGAAATGATTGTCGATGAATTGAACTAGACCCTTTTATTAGATTTTAATTAGGGTAACCAAATGAATATTTCAGAAAAAACTATTCAGAATATTTTACATTTTAATTTCGTCATAGTGACGTATTTTCTGAGAATTACCAATCATATCCTAATCTAAAGAAATAATTTTTTATTATATTTTTACGAAACATTTTTTTATTAATATTCGTGATCGTTTTATAAAACTATTTATTATTATTACAGAAAAATATCATCATTTATGCGTTGGTATGTTTTGACTTTTGGCATTTGTTTTGAGGTCTCGAAACTTCACACTTTTTCATCTTAATTTTTGAAGTTAAAGAGGTTCTTCGACTGATACGTAAATCTTTCGATATTTATGATCAAAAATAAATAAAGAAAGAAAATTAAAGAGAGCTGGAAGCTGATAAGGTTATTGGTAAAACAAAAAAGAGAAAAAAGAAACTTCGAATCTTGCTGCCGTCATTTATCCAAAGAAAATCAACACTCTAAGGGGTAATAAAATTACTGTTAAATAATACCTAAAGTGGTAATAAAAAGTGGTAAAAGTAGTAATACTTTGAGACTTTCTGAGATCTTTTTTCTAATATCAAGTGTAAAATTGCAATCTCTGAATATTTTACAAAATACTATATCTGCATAAAACTTTTTGTGGCTAAAACTTTTTATTACTGTTGCGAGTTATTACATTATTATTATTAATAGTAATTAGATAATAAATATAATATAATTTATAATTCTGTAGTTATTTTTATTTGTACTACTACTATTATTATTATAATAATTATTAATTTTATTAATATTGTTAATTAAATTTTGAAATCAGAATAGAACAAGTTATCGGAAATTTTGATTGAAAACATGGTTATTTTTATTATTACTTGGATTTTTTTAAACACCAGAAAAAATCAAGTGGTTTGACAATGTCCGATTTCTTCCTTCTCTGACATTAACAAAACCTGGTTTTTCTCGACATCTGCAAGCATCCGAGAACCATTCGCTAAATTACTGTCTAACAGCGTATTTCACCATTATTAGTTCTTGGAGTTTCATCACCGGTGATAGGATACTTCGGTGATAGGATATTTCATCACCGAAATATCCTATGTATCTTTAATTCTTGCATTGATATGTTGACGTCAAAGTATCAATGGTCACGTCACTTTGTCTATTCGTGTAACCAAATCAGTTTGTCAGTCATGTTACCAAAATTTCACATGTCTCTACTCAATTTAAAATATTCTTGGTAATCATTGTATACGATATAAACTAAAAGATACAAGGGCTTTTAATGATAAATAAAATTATTGTAGGAATCTGAATGTTAATTTAGCTTATCGCTAGTAAATATGAGATTTGAAAAAAATCATTGCAGACAGAAAAAAAGAACACAGTCAAATGACAATTTTTGTAAATCAACACGTAATTACAGAAGTGATAGCTATTTTGTTAGTTTCCTGAGACCCACAGAAAATTCAGGAACAATTATCTTTGTCTCTAGGTACTTTTTAACTACAGAAAACGTGAGCTTTCTGGTGTCACCTCATCTGTCACAAAGTAGACCTATTTAACGGTAGCGATCAAAAGGTTCATCAATCACTTATTAATATCATTAGCAACAAAAAAAAAGTATTGAATATTGATAAAATGAAAATTGCAATTTTTTAAAGCACAGACATGTTCAATACTTGAAAAAAATTGGTATAACTGGTTACAAAGTCCTGATTAGAAAAAAAGATTCTTATGGCTGTTCTTAATCTAAACTCCTGTTTGCGGAAATTGCAACACCATAAAGGAATCGTCATAATTGAATGAAATTTTATACACAGTTGAGCGGTAGTGGCACAAATAAATGATTAAACTTTCAAAGCAAACAAACAATAACAAGAGATCGAAATAAGTATTTTGCGTAGCCACCACGCACCGCAATAAGCGCTGCTACATGACGTGGTATGGAGTCAAGCAAATTTTGAATGTCTCTCTGAGGAAGAGCATTCCATATAGTGTGCATGCGTACCCAAAGTTCGTCTGTAGACGCAACAGGACGAGAATCACGAGCGAGGCACCGACCAACGGAATGACACACATGTTCAATCGGTGACATATCTGGGGAATACGCAGGCCAAGGAAGAAGCTGTACCTGCCGCTATGCAAGGAAGGATTGAACAGTCCTAGCAATATGAGGGCGGGCATTGCTTGTTGAAATACAGTGCCTGGCAAGGCTTGAAGGAAGGGAACAGCTTGGGGCTGTAAAACTTCACTGATGTACCGGTTGTTGTTCAGATTATCCACAATTCGTAGCAATTGAGATCGTCCATGATATGCTATGGCACCCCAGACCATAACTCCGGGTGTTCGTCCACTGTGGCGTTCGATAATGCACTCCGGAAGGTGGCGTTCACCGGCATAGCGTTTGACACGAATGCGGCCATCATGGCACCACAAATTAAAACGGGATTCGTCAGAAAACACGACACGCTGCCAATCAGCACGCCAGTTCCTGTGCTGATTGGCCCATTGTAGCCGCAGGCGGCTATAGTTTAGCGTGATGGGGATCTAGTGTAATGGAGTCCTTGCGCGCAGTCCACGCTGCAGTTGACGTCTACGAATTGATGAAGCACACAATGAAACACCTGTAGCTATTGACCACTGTGCTGCCAGCTGTCTAGTGGGAGCCGTACGGTCTGTCAGCGTCATGCGGACCAGGTGTCTATCATTGCTAGCTGACGTGACATTTCGGGGTCCACTCCCGGATTTCCGAGTTGTCTGACCCTCGTCCGTTCACTGCTTTCAAACACGCATCACTGTGCTGCTGTTACGCTGCACACGAGCGGCTACTGCGCGATAAGACAATCCAGCTTCACGAAGGCCGATGATTCTCCCCCTTTCTAACTCCGTAAGTTTTTGAAATCTCGCTCTCTTTCGTCGAAGAGGCATAAGTAACGTCTGAGCTAACGTTTACCACTAGCAGATAACCACCGATAACCATACACGCCTCGCTACAGCCGTCTATTTATTCGGATCCATCCGACGTTCAGAGGGCGCTGCTCAGCATACGCATGCGCTACGGGTCTGAAATTCTAATCATTTGCATATTATGCTCTACTTTGCATTTCCTGAAAATTTCAGCTCACTCGCGTAAGTCCTTCATGGTGTTGCAATTTTCACAAACATGAGTTTGCGAAAAGAAACCCTTTGTTTCATATTGAGTGTTTGTTTGCCTCATAAGTAAGATAAGCTCAATAAAAAGGAAAGAGGTTCACTCGGTTCTATTTTGTAGCAAGCTTTGTTTTTGTATCTATGAGGAAAAGAAAACCTTTACGTATACTTCAAAATATGTTTTTGTTTACAATCAGAGAAAAACTTATAACGAAAATACTAACGTGTTGGCTTGGTTAACAGTTAACTTATCTAAGGCACAAAAGAAAAATTTCACTAGTTGTCCACTATGACGTTTTGCTGAGAATATGCAGGTTTAATTAACGAACTCCTTTCACTAGTTGTCTGGAGCTGCATTGCAGATGATGACTATAGTTACGAGGTTAAACTATTTCAAGTAGGGCCATGGCGTGAGCATTTAGGACAGGTTTTGACATGAAATCGCAAAGAAATAGCAAAATCTCGCATCTGTGAAATATGTTGCAATACGCTGGCCAAGCAAAGAGGCTGGCATAGGATGTTTGGTTACATGAATGTGTAATTATTGTCCAGGTTGCGATTTTATAATCCAGTGACTTTTAACAACCTGTTCTCCTGTTTGACATTTTTTAAATAAGGAAAAACATAATATTTAACTTCTTTTGAATTCAGGAAACAAATTTTAAGAGAACAACAGCCAAGAGGAAAATCTCTAAAATAAGAGAGCGAGATGTTAAAGGCCGTTGGATTGTCAATTAGCGTCATGAGTTTCTACATAGTTGTGAGAAAGAAGAATCTGACAATTCATCATAATTTAGGATTTTTCTCTGCGGAAGTATTTCTTAGTAACCAGAAGCTCTAAAGAATTGGGGCTACAGCCCACCCTTGCAAAACTTCTAGCCAATTCATTTAATTATTTTTCATCGTCTTAAAATATGTTTAAAACAGACAAAGATATGTTTTAGAAATTTTACTAGATTGAGTTTTACCATTCGCATTTTGGAAGTAAAATTACTATTTATAAAATATCTTTAATTTTGATAGTTGTGAAATCTTTCCATAAAGTGAATAAGATTGAAAACGCTAGATCCAAAACATATGTTTTTAGCTTAATGCGAAAACAATCTCCGCAAATGTTTGAAGAAAAAGTGCATATTATAAAATATGGTTCTTAACAATAAGACAATTTCTAATTTTGTATCAAACAATGTTTTACTCAGAAGAGACGGCAAAAAAATTTGTTTTTTATCGATGCCATTAATACAATAAATCTTAAATGTATTCAATTGGAAGAATTAAGATCACAGATATAACAATAATCAATAAGGCTAACAAATATGTTTAATAACTTCAAAAATTGACCGCAGCACACGTGACTAATAAAATCTAATTCCAACTTTTGGGCCCTTTGCGTTCAATGTTGATTTAAGTTTAATCCAGCCATCACTAACTATGACACTTCAGCAAAATCTTCATACTGATAGGCGGTCCAAGATCTGATGACTTACAAAATATGACGATTAATATAAGAAGCTTATTAACTGTTGTATCAGTATAGTCGTCGTGACTTTAAGCCATTCAGAGTCTACAAATAGGTCAAGCGTTAAAAGTTATGTGCATTTTTAGTAGTCGTCAGAAAAATGAAGACGACTTACATTTTCTTACCCGTAATAGGGGTACTACTTAATTTTATTGAAGGTAAGTTTGAATTTTAAATTAAAATTTTTTTTTAATTAAAATCATTACTTCCCCTATTAGAATAACATAATATATCATATGTACTAGTGCAATCTTATATTAATGTATAATTCCCTTCTATATTTAAAATAAGTTATTATTTCGTTTGGAAATGCTTAAATTTCTAGAGTAGAGTTTAAAAATGCTATTTTAACTATTAATTTATTTTTTAACTTGACAAAATAATGTCCATGGATAAGCACAACCACTCATCAACACGAGTTTAATAATGTTTCTGGATTTATTAGCATTATATATCATCTATCACGAAAATCTACATATATTAAAAATATATATATATAAAAATTAATGTCTGTCTGGAATGTGGGGATAAGTTAGTGTATGTGTCTTTTAAAGACTCCTAAACTATCCGATCGAAAGCTCTAAAAGTTGGCATGCAGATAGTTCGAAGCACGAGGAATGTCACTGTCGACAGTAGAACTTTCTACGACAAACCGTTCAAGCGAGATGAATGAAAAACGAAATAGAATTTTCTGATTAGTTAAGCGTTAGCCATTGTTTAAAATTTAACTATAGGCGATACAAATTTTCAAATACTTTAAAGATAACATCAGTGATAATTTCTAACTTATAGTTCTATTTCATCAAAAAATAGTTTATTGCACGCATTTAAATATTTAATTATTTAATATTCACTATGTCAGATAAATTCAATGAACAACGTTACGTGGCAGCACGCTTGGTCTACGTTATGAAATTTATGCTGTTAAAGATGTCTGATACGACTTGCGTTTTTTTATTTATAATAATTCTTTAAAAACGTGTTTCTAGAAAAATATTAAAATATTTAATTAAAATCAAAGGTAATTGAATAGAGAAAAAATATTTATGTATTTAAAGGCTACATTAATGGAAATGTGGTGCTAATTCGTTTAGGACAAATGTAAAATATCGCCATATCATTATTGACGCCAATGATGCTTAATTAAGTTAGGTAATACATGCATATTGAAATAAAAGAAATAATTTCTGTACGAGAAAGCAAAAGTAATTGAGTAAAGATTCAGTTGTCTGGAAGAACCGTAAGAAATTGTCATACTATCATTGACGGCAATGATACTGAATTAATGTTGGTAATATGTTAATTGATATAAAAAAAAATTATTTGCTAGAAAGCAAAAATAATGGCAGAAAAAAATTTATTTATTTTGAGGAGCCGTAATAAATTACCATATCATTATTGACACTAATTAAACTATTGACTATAATATTGATAATATGCATAATTTGAAATAAAAGAAATTAAGTTATTTGCTAAAAAGCAAAGTTAAAGAAGAAAAGGTTAATAGGAAATTTGGAAACCGTAGAAAATCGATATTCACAGATGACGTTTAACTATTGTGTAGTACTGACGGAAATACGTACTACTTTTATTATGGTAATTAATGCGATTTCCGTAAGAATTCTACAACGGGTTTTCCGTAATTTTGGAAAATATTTTTTTTTTTGTTATATCAAAGATAGGGTATTAATTTTTTAATGAATTGAAATTAAAAGAATTTTACTCCACCACTACTTATAAATATTTTAATAGTAAATTAAAGATTAGATGGGAAAATGGTCATGTTCCAAAAGCGGCACAATTATTTCGGCACAAGCATAAACAAGTACTATTGTCGGTAACGAGAAGTTATTTATACATTACTTACAACGGCTTGTATTTTAAACATTGTCTTCTACTTCATCATAAAAGCAAGGCGCTTTTAAAAATGACTAAATTTACAATGTTGATTTGACTTTGGAATTTGTTTCTTAGTTTTTCTTCAGTAAAATGAATTGATTTTAGATATTTTGTAGCTAGTTACCGTAATGATTATTTTTTAAACTTCTTTTGCATTGTATTTCAACCAAAAAACAGTCATTCAAAATAATAATCAATCTATTAGTTTTGTCTTCAAAACCTGCAAAATGCATTGAGGAAATGATATAAATTTGGGTTGCATGTGTAATTTAAGATTGGATAAGCAATATATGAGCTTTTAACAGGAAGTTAAAGCCTCAGTGTAACTTACAATTGCTGGTTTATATCAATCCTCTAAACGATGAGCCAGTCGATAAAATTATACTAAGATTTACCAGCAGAAAACTTTCAGCTTAAAGAAGCTGAGAGCATTAAGGTACGGAAACTTCAATCAAATGCAGCATTCTGCATATTTTATTTATAATTTTTAAAATCATAATAAACAGTGCAACTATTTTAATTACGGACACTATTAAGATGCAATATACAGGGCCGCGATTATCCAAAGTAATTGGGACACGACTTACTTATGAATAATTGAAATATTTGGATTGTAAAAGTAACATTGTTTTTTATTTTTTTTTCAATCAATTCATTATGAAAATTTAGTTTTTATTTTTTTTAAAAAAAAACAATATTCCTACTTAACCTAACTTATCCTTTTCGTGCAAGCTTGCACATAAGGTCTGAAGTTTCCTTTCTCAGACACTGATTTAGTCCTTTTGCTTCAGCCTATCCATTAGTCTAGCTTTGCACAGATCTTGATACATGTACCCTTGCCAAATAAGTCTCGGCCCTACTCTTTTACATTTTCCGACGAATGCCCAAGCAAGTGCTATGCTAACAGGCTATCCCATTTTAAACGAAGGGTATTTTCAGTCCATCTCCATCTTCTCTAAATATTTCCTAATGGATGGGTTTGCCTTTGTTAGTAGATTTTTACTTGAAGCAGTTTTGGGTCAAACGTTTTTTAAATAATTCTTATTAATAATTCTTATTCTTAGTTCTGGAATGATCCCAGTTTTCTGTTTCTGTTTTGCGAAGGTTCCAATATTCAGCTCCATACAGAAAACAATGCTACACAATATTTCAATTTTATTTTAAAATGGAAAATTATTAAATATATTTTGTGTCAAATGAGTATAAATATTATTATAAGTGTAGACATTTTGTTTTGAAATTCTGTTGCACTATTGCTGTAGAAGTGCCTAATTCTGGATCGTTTGCTGGTTTTATTAATTTTAGAAGCTGATTTTATTTCATTTATATTCTTTTACAAGCTTTAGAAAACTTTCTCCTGATTCAATTAACATTAAGATATTAAAAAAATTTCTATCTAGTAGAAATGAATGGAAAAAAAAAACTGTATATTTAATGTTTATTTCTTTATTTTTTTATTGTTTTATATAATTTTATTTCTTTAGAAAAAACAAAGCAACCAACTTTACGGATTAATTACCAATTTCACAGATTAAAATGCTTATTTGTTACTTACATAAAATTGAGAGAAGTGAAAAAAAAAGAACTAAATGAGCATGGTAAAAGAAAACCCACTTCTTAAAAGACTTTAGTTCAGAAGTATTCGAACAATCGAGGTTCTGCATTAATATTGTTTTACATAAATCATCCGGGGTTGTTTACACAAAGAATTCACAAGGCGTTGCAAAGAGTTACGCGAACAGGAAGTCTGAAATGGTTAGCCTTTTTGCAAATATTTATATTCATAACTTGTCGAACTGTGACAAGTTATCCAACAAAAATTTATTCTCCATTTAAAGGGGGGTGGGGAAAGCAACTTTCTAATTATTTTAGTAGTTGAAAAAAAAAATCGAATATTAGACAATTAATAAAAAGTGCAGAAATTCGAGTTTATTTTTGAAAATACGCACGAATCGAGATTCGAAAATATTCGCTTTTCATAACTAAATCGTGATTGTAGGATATACAAACTATAAAAATAACTCACACTCTCAAAAATCTTCTTTTTATTTTGCTAAATTTTAATTTTTTGCTGATAGTTTATAGAAAAGAATTATTATTGCCTAATATCATGTTGTACAGTCAAAATTGTATTTTTAAAATTGTACTTTATAGCAATGATAAGAGCAAAAATAGTAAAAAGTATTTTCTATGAAATCAAACGATCTTTTTAATGTTAATTTTACAAGTCCCCTTAAATACATTGCCGTAAGTAAATATATTTAATATGAATATGCAATATGATCAGATGAGCAATCTTTTCACGTTAACAAACGGGCAGCACATATTTTTTCACTCTGATATTGACATTGGTTATTCGGGTAGCAGAAAGACAGATTTGTTGACCCCTTTTTCAAGGGCACCCATATAAGTTGGGCAATTTTGCTCCCGCAGTAAGAAGGACAAATAATACAGAGAAGAGAAGGAAAGAACTTGCATGCCTTGTTCGGGATTCGAATCCAGAACCTTTTTGACAAAAGAGTCGGTCTCTGACGACTATACATCTAGTTGGCCCGGATAACACATAGAAAGTATAAAAATATTTAAATGATTTTTCGTTTTGTCCCATGTCAAGACTCAGTCCAAATTAGCTATAATTATTATTGCAAATAATTATAATTACTGATAACAAACAATTATTATATTTATTAGCAAAATGATTATTGTATTTTTGAAAGCTTTTGGAAAGATTCACAGTGAAATTATTTAAAACATGCTCATCCCAATAAAGATATTTAATACTAGATGGCCCTACCCTCTGGAATGAATTTAACAGTTCGTTTCGGATAGCTTCACTCGTGCTCAAGTATTTTAGTCCAGCTCATGTATATAAATTAATTTAGTGTCGCATTTTTATTTGTTTTAGTTCAGTTCCTTAAACCTAATTTAAATATATTTATCTGCAATATTTATTTGTATTTCTTTGCTTTTGTTGCTTTTTAGATTTTGATTATTATTCCAGATTAAAATCTTCTAACTGAAAGTGGTGTCTCTTTATCATGAAATCAGTCATATGTTATTTCCTTATTACGCAACATTTGATAATAAATATAATTAAATCGGTATCTTAACTTATTAACCGTTTTACAATAAATAAAAAGTAAATATAGTTACTCTTATTAAAAGTTTCGTGTAGAACTGTTCCCAGTCAACCTATGAAATTTAGAAACAAAATTGTCAAACTGTGTGGAACAAAATTATAAGACATTATTTATTTATTTTTTAATAATTTATTTACATTCAATTAAGAAATTTGTCAATTGTTAGTAGTTTTTCCTTCGCTTAAATAATTTGCGACAAGGATTCTGAAGAAACATATTAAGAGTAGTCTTTATGAAACATCCTGCGTAAATCAAATCTTAATGTATATAAATAATTTTATAAATTAAAGGTTTCATAATGTCTTGTATATGTTGCATAATTTCAGAAGTTAATTTTGAAAAGTATATCAACCTACAAAATTAGACTACAGGATGTAGTATGCAATCACTGAGTGAAGCACGCTCAGAATTCTGACCAGTTCGAAAGAAACTGTAAAAGCACTTCCAGCTGTTGAAGAGCACAGCAATCAGGGATGAGGTTCCCAGTTTCTTATGTAATTTCTGCACTGTTGTTTTACATTCTAAATTTTGCATTTTCGAACCTGATGAACAAAATTTGTTTTATGCTAATGTTTTTAAAAAATTCAAAAGCTACATTTTTGACTCTCAAAAATAAATGCAATATTTGGTGTATTCCAAGAGAGCTAAATATACTCGATTGATAAAAATTTTTTGTAACTGTGTGACAACATTTAAAGTGCTTGAAATTCTGTATAGAAAGTTTGTGCTACATTTTATTTTTTTACTGACCGGAACATAAATATGTTCCGGTCTGTAATAGCATATTTGATAGCCATGCAACAAGAATTTTCCATTTTTTCCCTTAAACTTTGAACTTTTAACAAATTTTTCATTATCCTTGCGCTATTTTTATAACTCTATTTTTGTGCGCTTTTTTAATGCCCATATTGATAGAAGTTTCTTAGAATAAAATTGCTAAATAACAGCGTATTTAATTGTTATTTTACCATTTTCAACCAAAATAGTAAAAAATACCATGAAAAGATGGTATTTAAACTGTTAACTGTGAAAAAATGGTTTATTGACTGTTTTTACCAAATACGGTTAAGCAGCCAGAAATTTTTTGAGCCAATAATACCATATTGCGCCTTATAAAGCCACTTTGGATGCATACTATTGTCGAGAGGGCTAATTTGTCAATTTCTTGGTCGGTTGAATGGGGTTCGAATCACAGCATTGTCACCACAATAATTATTCAATTCCCTTAACACATGGAGAGTTTCCAGCCCTTGCACTCCTCAATCGCTATCTCCGGACAAGTATAATATGAAACTCTTATTCACGTATAGATGGCAGCACCGCAGAATTGCGTAAATAAAAAATTCTAGTTTCTCCATTTCTCACGACAGCTACATTCCTCTGCATATTTGACAAAATACAACTCACCCCTCTGATGTCCATTACTTAGCAGAAAGTCTAACTTTACCTAACGCCCAGCCCAATTAAATTTTTTTTCATGGTTTTAAAACCATACTACTTGTAAATGGTTACAAAACAGTGTAGTTTTGTATTAAGGGTTTTTTAATCCTACCAGCTGTAAACGGTTTCAAAACCGTAAAAATCAAAACTTTAACATTACGATTAGTAAGATGAACTGACTGCTGTCGGTTATCTTATCGTAGTTTTACAATGAAGATTCTAACAATGTGCTATAAAAAACATAAATAAAATAAACGACACAAAAAAAATCTGCTGATGTGTTACATGAAAAACTTTTTAACAACCCGACAATTTTTAATGACCCCTTAATTAATATAATGTATTATATTTTACACTTTAACAAATGAAAAAAATAAAATAAAATAAACTATCTTTCGAAAATTTCTTGGTATATAAAATCATAAACTAATATTATATTTCAAGAAAACGAAATTGGTAATGAACTGATGAAAGAAAGAGTTCTTCATAAATTTAAATAAATAAGCGATGGATATTTATTTGAAATTAATAACACATGCTTTTCTTAATTAATAATAACATACACTAATATTGATGTGTTTTTTTTTTACAGTTTCACAGCAGGATGAAGGCAGTAAGTATACAAAGAAATGTTTTTCGTCCTTTCCTCTATTCTGTGATTGATTATTCTTTAAAATTTATGTTGTTATTATTTCTAAAATATGAGCTCATTAGTCAGAAATCAGTGACGAATTTTGACTTCAAATACAAGTTTCCTTCTTATGGGAATGGATAGTTCCATTTCTTTTTCAGGCTGAGAAAGGTATGAAGGTATGGAATTCAAACCTGCGTTTTTTGCGAGAATATTATTACCTAATATTTTATTTCATTTTATTTATTTTGCCTGGATGATATTACGAATTTCCCTCTTAGATTTAGAAAAATGCCAGGGTGGAAAAACCCCGTCAATGACCCTCAACCTTTAAAGTGAAACATCAGCGTAAGGAGTATCAAACAATTGTTTACTGGTAAATGGCCCTTTACCCTAAAAAACAAACACAGCACACAACTGTGGCTAAGCCCGAAGCCCTGATTTTTAGGGCCTTATCTTTTAACACCCATGAAAGAAATGGCATGTAATTTTATCCCGGTCAGACGATATGAACAGTGCCTGAAATGGTAGCCCTCTCTCACAACAACAAACGAGTGGCTTTCACCCACGATTCAAAACGAGATTTAACACGACCTCACAACCCACAATTGTCACATACCAGATTTGAACTTACACAGTTCTCTACCAGCGAAGTGAGAGATGTTTTCACAGACTATGCAACTGAACTGCTTGATAAAAAAACAACAGTGTTGAAAATAACAGGCAGTAAGTGCAAATCAGGTTATGTTCTACACATTCTTTCCACATTATTATTACAATTTAATAGGCCATTATTAATAGCAACCAATTCGTTTAGTAAATAAGGTGATACATGATGAGTATAATCACATTTTCCGATATACGCTTGCTTGGTATTCTTTAAATTATTTTTTTTTTTTAATTTTCCGGGTCATTACCCAAAATTACAGCCACCTCTAACAAAAAAATTTTAAAAAAACATTGCCTTCAGCTTGAAGAAATTTTACAGGATGTTATAAAATTTGAAGAGTCGAAATAATTTGGTATGCATTTTGTTGTTAGAAAATAAACATTTTGTTTTGATATCTATATTCTGAAATTAAAAATATGTTCTGTTTGCTGTGTTTATCTCTGCAAAAATGAAGACTGGTGTTCCTCATTTTTCTCCACCAGCAAAAGAAATGAAAGAGGAGCCTTTTAATTTCAAGTTCTCACAGAGTGTGGAGAACAGTGCGGGTTTCTTAAAAATGTTCAGCTACCAAATTAAACGTTGTTAAACATAACAAATTGAATGTTGAGTACAACTTATCTTTACCAGTTGGCATGCTGCTAATTAACGGCTAAAATGAATAATATATATACACACGCTTAAGAAACAAAATCTCATCACCAAAAAGGAGTTGTGCTAGATAAACTAAATTCAGTAGGTTTGTTTATACAACTAAAAGAAGACGTCATTCAAGTTTGACGCTAGTAGCACTACTGTGAACATATAAATCAGGGCTGCCCTAAATACGCGATCGACAGTTCGTAAGCGTTATTTTTCGTTAAATTATGACAAAGTGAGTTGCTGTTAGTCAAGAATGCCTTTATGAAGAAGCCATTGTTAACAGCTCATTGTCTTAGAACGTGGCTGTGAAATGCGGCTGTAAGAAGGTGGATTTTTTTCTGCATGATTTTATTTTATTTTATGACCATCTTTGAACAGTCGACCCAATTTCGAGTTTAAGATTACCAATGTTCAACTCCGTTGCTTTTTTTTAAAAATCCAATCCAGAAAACAAGGGAACTGATGGATCAAGTATTAGGAGAAATTTGCCAAAGTGGAGGGCATTTTGATGGAACTAACCCGCATTTGCGCTACTTGGAGAAGAAAACCACGAAAGCCTTCCTCGGATAGCCCAAAGGCGAGGGGACTCTAACATATGATCCGTCTACCACTGAGGATATTTTATGCCAGCAGTGTGGTCATGTGCGGAATTCGTATCGACCAGCCATTGCTGGGATTTGAACCCAGTTCACCACATTGGAAGGCAAACGCTCTATCTTCTGAGTCACCACGCCTCAGTGTGCATGATTGTTGGCAGCAGTGGTCAAGGGTAGGCACTACTTTAAGAAAACCGGGTTCTATGCGACCACGCAGCACTACTCAGAGGGAAGACCACTGTGTACGACGTATGTCTGTGCTGTGGCTCACAGTACTGCGTCTACATCATGCAGCCGCAGTTAGTGCTACAGTGATTCAATGAACTGTTACAATCCGGCATTAAATTTTATATATATANCAAAATATATATATATATATAATAAAAAAATTTTCGATATACATTTTCAAAGAAAAGTATACCACAGCTCAATATCTTCCACGCTCAATAATTGTTGTTTCATTTTTTCATAAAGAAAATTTGACAATTGATCAAATAAATTTATTAGTTTCCTTTGTGCATTTTAATTAACATGAACTATTTTTTTTCTACTTTTTTGCAGAATACATTGATCGTAATGTATAGTTTTTATGTTTATTAAATTAGCAAATCTTCATTTGTGAAAGCTTTCTAAAAATATTAGACTTGAAGAGATATCTAAAGGTTTAAACGTAGAGAAAAACTTCTGTCTTAATATAAATTGATAAATTAACAATTAAGTAACATAAAATAGTCTTAAATAGAAGACAATTTCAAGTTTTTTTTTGCATCATTTTAAAGCTTTATTTCCAGATATTCTTTTGACATATTTTCTAAGCTTGCCGGAAAATATTCTAATTCGTGCAAACATCTTACATAGCATTTTAGGCAGCTTACAGAGTTAAATGAACTTTTCTAAGAAAGTTATTTCATGACTATTTTACTAAAGATTACTTTTAACAATGGAATATTTATCTTGAAAAATAGCAAAATATTATTTAAAAAATTTTTCATCAAATTTATCTACATTGGAACACTTTTATCATTTCAAAGAAAAGTTAACTAAAGTTTTAACTTGAAACATCCTATCTCATATATCGGCTGTTCCCAAAATGACTGAATTAATAAAAAAATCAAACTTATTTAATTAGGATTAATTTTTTAAATTTTAATATTTAATGAATTGTCTTCAATTAAAAAATTAAAGATTAAAAAGATAAAAGAACATAGAAATGAATCGTTTCCTCTGTTTTCCTAAACCGACCGAAGAATTAATTATTACTAAGTTTAAAATTTAATTACAAAACTTGTTAACCGATTTCATTGTAAGAGACTGTATAAAACAGTGTTTTCAAAATAGTATTGTGCTAATATTTCAGCTAAAATTTTCTAACATGCAGCATAAAATTTCTTTGTAACTTTATAATTAATACTTTAGCAGTGACATCTATTAACAAACTTCGTAACTAATTTTTAAATTAGAAGAGGACAAATCAACTTATTTCCAGAACAGAACCTTGGAAACACTTCAATTCCGTCTCATTGAACTCTTTATATTTTTTAACTGATTTCTTAAAAACTCGGTCATTTTTAGAACAAACGTTATGACTAAATACGAAAAGAGAATTGCTGTTATGGGATACTCTCGAAACCATTAGAAGACCCATAAATAATGAAATAAACCCCTTCATTAGATATTTACATCTTTGAGTTGTATCTAGCAATGCCATCTGTTGTTAAATTTTGTAAGTAATTTTTAAATTGAGTGAGAACAAATCCTCTTACTTCCTTAGCAGAGTCCTGTAAACAGTTTATTCTATCTCAGTTAACTCTTGATACTTTTTGAACTGGTTTCTCAAAAACTCGGTCATTATTAGAACAAACGGTATAGATAAAAATGAAAAGAGAATTGTCGTAATGGAATGCTCTCGAAACTTCCAGAACTTCCATAAATAACAAAATGAATCCTTGCATCCTTACGTTAGATACTTACATCTTTCATCTTTCTTGAATCTTTGTAGTCATTTACAAAACTCGTTGAATAAGACGATTAAAGAGAAGATCTCTTACAAATAAATTCAAAATACCATTATCAAGTTATTTCTTTTTAAAATATGAGAGTTTTTCAGAAATATATGAAGCAAAGGATATTTAACTAAAGAATGCAATAGTTTAAATTAGTAATACAGATTTGAATATCGTGTTTAAAAGGGGGAATCAAGTAGGTTGATGAATTGAAATGTAACGTATCATGTTTCAATGATATATTTATTTATTTCCAGCTGCAACTCTCCCCAAAGTGGTCAAAGATTTGTTTTGTAAGATATATTTATCAATTTACTTACATTTCAAAACTAATAATATGTTTAAGAAGTGTAATGAAAAATATGATTAACAGCAGATAAAAATGCGATTAATCTGAAAAACATGATTAACTTTTCATAACAGCTGAAATAAATATTTTTCATTACATTTTATTAATTGTTACAAATTACTTTGTTAGTACAATGCGTAAAAAAACGGGCCACTCTGAATAACTTTTTATATAATGATGGGATCTTCACGTTCTAGGACGCAATCTTAATGGCTCGAGGGGGTGACATCAAAAATGCTGATTAATAAGTACAGACCATGTTTTTACCATAATTACGAAATCAGTCACAAAAACGTACATTCTCTGAATAAACGTACATTTTTATCGACGGATTCGGATTTCTGACCTCCTCAAATATAGGGTAATCTGGAAAATATGGTCCCCATCGCTTGGTCAGGAGAGCGATGCAAAATTTTGACCCTTTAATGTTAATTTTACGTTTTGCGTATTTCGCCATATCTCGAGAATTTAAGCGAATTGAAAACTTTTTGCACAGAATTATAAAATTCGTTAATTCAAAGATAATTTCATTCAAAAATATTTTTTCAGTAAATATTTATTATTTTATTAAATAACACTCGAAAAAGGTTTGAATTGTAAGGTATAAAATTTTTTGCATGATATTAAACTACTTAATTTTACGTGGCAAAATATAAAATTTGAGCAAAATCAGTCCGAATAGTTTTTGAGGAATTGAACTTCAAAATAGTCAGATACTTATAATTCCGATTTCTCAGGAAATATTCGGCCGATTTTGCTCAAATTTTGTAATTTGCTATGCAAAATTTTAACATTTAAAATTATGCTAAGAACTGTGTACCTTCAAAATTCTTTTGATCATTTTATTATTAAACCAAAGGAAAATAATAGATATTTACTAAAAAAAAAATTTTTTTCTGCGTGGAATTATCTTTGGATAAACGAATTTTACAATTGAGTACAAAAATATTTCAATTTGCTTAAGAAGTTCTCGAGATATAAAGAAATACGCAAGAAGTAAAATTAACATTAAAGGGTCCAAAATTTGGAGCGTTCTCCTAACCAAACTATTGGGACTATATTTCCCAGATTTCGGCTACCCCCTATATTTTGGGAGTCAGAAATCTGAATTCGTCGAAAAAAAGGTATGTTTATATAGACAGATGACGTTTTTGTGTCTGATTTTGTAACTTAAAATATCGTCTGCACTTATTAATTAGCATATTTGCTGTCACCCTCTCGAGCAATGAAGATTGAGTCCAAGAACGCGAAAATCCGATTATTAGATCAAAAGCTATTCAGGGTTGTCCTTTTTTTGTACTGAACAATAGCTGTATAAATATTATATCTTAGATTTAGTAACTCAATATATACAATTCGACATGTTCGTACATTTTTTTGTGATTGAGCAAAGAACTACGAATTGCTATTTCCTGTCGTGAACAAAGAATCGAAAAAACCTTTCCCGGCACAGGGAAAACTGAAACACTTACCCAATATTCAACACATTGGGTTATGCTTCAAAACTAGGTGATTCTAAAGCAACTGTTATGAAAAAGTAATAGCGTTTTACCTAAGTTTAAAAGTGTACTGTGAAAAACTGCTGCAATAAGTACAGTCATTCAGCACTTTTTAGCATAAAATCCATTTTTACCGTAAAGTTTGACCGAACAAAAAATCATATATACCGTAATTTTTACGGAAAAATCTCTAAATCTCTGTAATGAATTAAATGTTACAGTAAAAATTACGCTATTAAGTTTAACAGTAAAATGGATTTTACTGATGTTGCACTCAGAATGCCAGTACTTTATACTATAATTTAAACCAAAACTTTAGTATACTCTTCCGAATAATTGCGACTAAGAACTGTTGAATAGTGCGATCAAAAAGTAATAATTTTTGATCTAATGATCAAATATGCGTGTCTCACTTTCAAACTCAATACATTGCCAGCCCTTATGAATTAATATATTTAAGGTTAAGCCCCCAAAGATTGGTTCTTAGTATGTGAAAATCAGATGATTATACTCCGTTGCAAGTTGAGAAAAAACCATTGCAATATAAGATTAAAGTAATCATCCGCGAAAGTTTTATTTCTTATCAAGTTATACAAATATTCTTTCAAAATAATATAAAATCTTTTAAACGTTAAACAAGTCAGGCAGAAATTTTGTTTGTGCTATGTTTTACGATATATATAGTAGAATTATTAAAAAAAAGGTTATAGTTTCAAAGTCTAGATTCGTTCTTTTAGACTTGGCGACATCTTTCAATAAATAAGAAGAACGTTCAATCTGGAAAGGAAACAACTTCATGACGTTGCAAGAGCATTGGATTTGATTGGACCTCTAAAAATGACACGTCCGTCTTATACTGACATGCTCTTAATAAATAAAATACGAGATAGGAATTTTAATTTTTTTTTCACTGTAGAAGAAAATCGTCTGCATAGGAACAATGTTTATCATTCTTTCATCAGTTTCTTTAAAGGCGAACAGGAAGACATATATTTGTCGCGATTTTTAGATATCATTTTTATTAGTTATTATTACTTGTTAATTGATTATTCAATAAGTTTTGTGTCCCTCATTTCATAGGATTTAAGAAATCAAGCAAAAACAAGGCTGTACATCGTCGTTTCAAGAGTTAACGTTGTCAATATACGTTCGTGCTGGAAGCTTGGCATCCATTTGGCGAACACTTGGATGCAAACAGGCTTTCTCCATATGGATAATGGTTTTTTTCTTAACTCGTAAACAGAGTATAGATCAAAACGTGCTCAAAATCTTTATTTTTTGTGCAATGTAGTAACTGACGTTACTGGCTATAATCATAAGTGCTAGAACTGAACAACTCAAAATGAAACACTGTTTTTTTTTTTTTCCTTTTTTTTCAAAACAGTTTCTCTACTTAATTTTTGTATTACTATTTAGGTATGTTAAGTATCGGGTCTGTGCCCATTACAGTCAATTATCACAAATCATTCAATTAAATAAACATTACTGTAGAATTACGGTATAATATTTTACGGCTAAAATGAATTTTAAAATAAATTGGATTTTATGGATGATGCATTCCGAAGTTCCGGTACTTCAAACCGGAACTTGATCCGGAATTTTTTACAAAATGCAGTGAAAAGTTTATTTCATGAAGCCAGACCTAAAATATCTATGATGCAATTATTGTATTATTACCCTCCTATCACCTTAAATAATTATCGGTGTATGTCAGTTCTGTCATAGTGTTATCCTACTGCAGTGATTCTCAACCTTTTTTTTGTGGTGGCATACTTTTAACAATTTCGAAATTCGGCGGCACACAATGAAAAAAAATAGTTTAAAAGTTGTTTACTTACCTATAATACACAGTGTTAAATAGACTGTGATAATAATTTTGAATGTGAAATAAAATAATACGTACTACAAAAGCACGTTTATTAAGGGATTAATTATTTCTTTCGATTAATTTTTATTTAGTAACAGTTATTTATTTTTTTCTTGCTAGTTATTAATTGTTAGCTTGTTTTCTTATAATTATTAACTGTTCGTTTTTTTTTAACATTAATTATTATTTTTTTGTGATTTCTTGTTAATTAGCTTTTTTTGTGCCAATTATTAATCGTTAGCTTATTTTTTTGTTAGTTATCCTTTGTTAATTTGCTTTTATAACGATTAACTGCATAGCTTACTTTAATGATTAGCTTTTATTTCCGTTGAAAAGTTAATATTTAGCTTGTTTTAGCGTCTGTTAATTATTTTAATAGTCAATAAATTTCCTACGTATTTTAACATTTTTTAAAATTGCGTGCCAAAGACAATTTAAACACTTCCTTCTTATTTTAACTTTTTTTAACTTATTTTAAGATTGTCAGAGACAAGACAATCGCCGACAAAGATGTTCGCGCGGTTAAAGCGAGGAAAAATTATGTATTATATATATATATATATATATATATCTTATGTTTCANTGGTAGTAGTAAAACTATATATAGAGCCTTTAATCAATATTTTTAATCATTTTTCTTTAATTTAAACTGTACTCGTAATAAAAAAAAAGCATTATAATTTTTACTGTATCGCTTCTAATATTTGTCGGCACATTTTAAGAATTTGGCGGCACACGAAAGTGCCGTGGCACAGCGGTTGAGAATCACTGTCCTACTGTATGTGAATCACTAACTTAACTTCCAATTTGTACTCCACAGAAGCCTTCTCAATCTGTTCGCGATAAATTAACTAGTAATTAACACAGATGAAAGCATTTCCCCTTCATAACTGCTATGTAACAATATGCAAAATAACATCTAAATTGTGGCCAAAACAACCTACAGCTTTATTGAGGGAGTTATCAGAGTTATGTTTTAAAAATATTCCATAACGGTTTAAGTCGATGAACAAAACGTTTAAAAATCACAAAAGCTTTATTTTCTAAATAAATCAGAAAATGTCGAAATTTCAATTTTTCTGTAACATTAGCTGAAACCTTTCTTTAACTTAAGTGATGCAACTTAAAGGAATATTAAAGTTTACGACATAAGCGCTCCATATGAAGCAAAAATATTGAGATATCATTTTCATGGTAAGAAAATGAAACAAAACAAACTAAAACAAAATTAGACAACGAAATAAAGATTATATTTTGAAGCTTCGTTCCAATTAACACAATAATGATTAAAAAAATGCATTTCTGTTCATCTAAAATGTTGATTCAACTTAGAAATTTTGATTAGGTTATACAGTCATATGCTCTGTATTATATTTTATTGAGTAAATATCACACAAATTGTATCCTTTTCTGTATTTTTTATCTTCCATAAGATCTGGAACATCGGCGAATGTCTGTCGGTCAAGTTAGTAACTATAGCCATTGTTTCGCAAAAAAGGCTAAAGTTTAACCAATATTAATTATATATGTTTATTTTTAAAATCATTGTGCTTAAAAAATTAGAACTCTATTAGCTAAATTTTATTTTTAAATAAAATAAAATATATTTTCCAGAAATGTATTCAAAATTATGCATCATATTGTAAAATTTCCAGAATGAAAAATCCAGATCCGATTGAGATAATTAACTAAAACAAATGAAATGAATAAGCAAAGAACAGGTATAGTGTGCAAAATAGAAAAATACCACCCTGAATAACTTTTAAACTAATGATCGGATCTTCACATTCAAGGACTTAATCTTAATGGTTTGAAGGGAAGACTTTAAATATAATAATTAAATAATGCAGACGATATTTTAAGTTACGAAATCAGACACAAAAACGCACTTTCTATAAATAAACGAATCGTTTTTTTCCGACGGATTCAGTTTTCTGACCCTTAAAATATGGGGGGTAGTCGCAATCTGGAAAATATGGTCCATAATTTGGTCAGTAGAGCGGTCCAAAGTTTTGACCCCTTAATCTTAAATATAATTTTTGTATATTTCATCATAAATCGGGAACTTTTTAAGTAAATTGAAAAAAATTTGCACACAAATATAAAATTTGATAATCAAAATATTATTTCACACAAACAATTTATTTTAGTAAATATTCATTATTTTTTATTATTTTATTTAATAATAGTCGAAAATTTTGAATTATAGGGTACACAATTTTTTTTCTTCATTTTAAAGTAGCTTATTTACATGGCAAAATGCAAATTTTGAGCGAAATTGGTTGAATAGTTTCTGAGAATTTTCAGAAAGTCATATATTGAAAACTCGATTCATCAGGAACTATTCAACCGAAAATTGTAATTTGTAATTTGCCATGAAAAATTAGCCATTTTAAAATGATGCGAAACATTGTAAATTCAGATTTTTTTCGATTATTATTAAATAAAATAATAAATATTTACTAAAATTTATTTTTTGCATGGAATTATCTTTGGATAAATAAATTTTACAATTGTGTTCAAAAAATTTTCAATTTCCTTAAAAAGTTTTCAGATATGGCGAAAAACTCAAAAAGTAAAATTAACAGTAGGGAGTCCTAACTTTGGATTGCTCTCCTGACTAAAGTATTTGGACCTTATTTCCTAGATTGCAGCTACCGCCCCTTATATTTTAATCAGAATTCGTTGAGAAAAAGACATGTTTATTCAGAGAAAGTATGTTTTTGTATCTGATTTCGTAACTTTAAATATCGTCTGCACTAAATAATTAGTATAATCGAGGTCACGGCCTCGAACCATTAAGATATCGCCCTAGAACATGAAGATCCGATCATTAGATCAAAAGTTATTCAGGTTGGTCAGGTTTTTTTTTGTTACACTGTGCATAATAAAAAAGCAACACTTAAACGAAAAAGTATACGCAACAACATTTTCGAAACTTAAAGTTGGAGATTATGACAGTTCAGGAGCTGGAGGACTACTCGCACTAAATCATTCTTGTTGCCAAGTGACATTCAATAAAAACAGTTTAGAAATAGTTCTTGCTGCCATGTGACATACTAGAAATATGAATCTGTTACAATATGTCGTAAAATTTCATATTTATTTCTATTAAGTTAAATAGTTTTTACTTTTTATTTTCAGCTGGGCCCAGTATTAATAACTTTAAATTTATCTGGAAAGATAATGACGGTACAGAAAAAGAACAGAAGGAACCTCAACCTCAACCAAAACCAAGTAAAACGTCAATTTTATTTCACTCTTTTCTCTATATCCCTTCATAATATTTCTTTCATCCTTTGCATATAATCTACTACAATACATTTTATAAAAAATATCCTGTGGATTACTTTTACAAAATATTATATAGGGAAACAAAAAATTACTATATACCATTAAACATTATTACTGATCGTCCATGAGTTTTCAGTTTGGACTGAGCTCAAAACAAGTACTTAAAAATGGACACGGCTCAAAAATATGTAAGTGATTAAAAAATGGACACAACTCAAAATGCATGTTAAAAAATGGACGGTGGAGAAAATGCGTGTTTAAGAAAATAAGTGCTTAAGAAAATCAATATAGTTAAAAATACGTGTCTAGGAAAATGGACACACTTCAAAATGCGTGTTTAAAAAATGGACGTAGCATTTGATTTGGATTTTTCACTTTCTCTTATAAAAACTGTTCTTCATTTAAATAATAAACTAATGAAACCAATTACTAATAATATATAACATATATAACTAATAAACCAACTAATAATAATACAACTAATAATAATGGTCTTTTTAGTTTTTGCTGTCCAACTATGTTGTCCAACTAATAATATATGTTTTAATTATATGTACCTGCTAATATGTTGTAGTTCATTGTTGCCTAAATCACTTAGTGAATTTTTTTTAATTAGTCTTTTTTGGAAATAGGTTTATAATCTACAGTTCTCATTTACAGGATTGTTACGGGTCATATAATTAAAAAGTAATAAAGCAGTGGTATTAAACTTACATTGTATGAATTTAACTTTTTTTAAGCCACTCCATCGTTTAGCGTTTTGAATACAAAGAGATACCTCAAAAATCGCATTTGTAACTTACCTAACCACCCCTAACCCGGAATCCGGGACGCTAATTTACAATCCAACAACCTTAGAGCCTGGAAGGCCCAAGTAATAGAGCGCTTGCCTTCTAATGAGGTCAACTGTGTACAAATCCCAGGATGGTTGATTCATACGAATTTCACACCCGACTTACCCGAACACATTACTTCCTTGCCGTCAGGTTAACCTAGAGTGCCTAGCCTTCAAGGCACTCTAGGTTAACCAAGGGAAACTCGCGTGGTATTCCATGTAATGCGTGGTATTTCATATTCTCGCATTTCATGTAACGCAAATGCGGGTTAGTTCCATCAAAAAGTCCTCCACGAAGGCAAATTTCTCCCAATACTTATTCCCAGAATTGCCTTGTCTTCTGGATTGGGTTCAAAATTACAAGGCTATGGAGTTGAACATTGGTAGTAGTAAAACATTGGTAGTAGTACTATTTGTTATAACTCTGATTTGAAAATTTTGAATATGTTTGCTCATGTAATTGAACTGCTGCGCTCGTTTCGAACTTTCGGAGTGTCCCCGGATGCCCCCTTACGGGGGCGGGACGGGGTTAAGCTTGTCATTGGTAGTAGTAAACTCAAAATTCGGTCAACTGTTCAATGACGGTGATAAAATTAAATAAAAATAATCCAATAACCTTTAACGGTTTTCTCTCTTTTTTAAATATTTTTCTCTTGTTCGCAGTTGGTTCCAGTTATAATACAAGCTTTTATTTTTTTTTTAAATTTGCTACCTGAAATAAGAAAAAGTCAAGATTCAAGTTTTCCTTTTATTTGAGAAAATACCAATAGGATAATGCGTCGTTAAAGAAGCCAGATCAGAAAATCACGTCCAGAATTGGCCCGTATTGTTTAGTTAAGTGTTTAAAAATGAAGGAAAAGTAAATTCGAAACTCCTTGTTTAGTTATTAAATTTGATAGAACATTTAGGTTCCTTGCATCTTCCGTGTATTTATTTTCCTTATTTAGTTTTTTTTCAACTGTGACCATTTTCATTAACACGCATTTCGAGCTGCGGCCAGAGTAGAAACTTCTATGACAAAATGTTGTTTTAGATACAAGCATGATTACGCTTAGGTGCAAGCTTGAACTTAGGTGCAAGCATGATTACGATGCATTTATAGTTTTTAATAATTAAGTAAAAGTTTAGAATTTCGTAAAAAGTCAAGTTTAAAGATTGTACTTTTCAAAATATAACAGTAAATTATTATTGCAAATTCTAATCTATCACTCAATTAAAGTTTGTATTTCGGTTATACACACACACTATATATATATATATATATATATATATATATATATATATATATATATATATATATATATATATATATATATATATATATATATATATATATATATATATATATATATATATATATATATATATATATATATATATATATATATATATATATATATATATATATATATATATATATATATATATATATATATATATATATATATATATATATATATATATATATATATATATATATATATATATATATATATATATATATATATATATATATATATATATATATATATATATATATATATATATATATATATATATATATATATATATATATATATATATATATATATATATATATATATATATATATATATATATATATATATATATATATATATATATATATATATATATATATATATATATATATATATATATATATATATATATATATATATATATATATATATATATATATATATATATATATATATATATATATATATATATATATATATATATATATATATATATATATATATATATATATATATATATATATATATATATATATATATATATATATATATATATATATATATATATATATATATATATATATATATATATATATATATATATATATATATATATATATATATATATATATATATATATATATATATATATATATATATATATATATATATATATATATATATATATATATATATATANTAATATATATATATATATATACTGAAATGATAAGGAATTAAATTTTAGAGTTTTACATTGCGTTTCATCAAAACAATTTTAACCGACTGAACTTAAAATTCAGCATTTTGTGTATTACTAATAAAATTCCATTGAATTATTTGATTACATTAGTAAATTATTGATTGCTTAAAAGATTAACTTAAATTATTACTCCATTTATAGTACACAAATGCCGGCATTTTATAAACAATATGTATAAAAAAAAATTCTGCTGGAAAGGAACATAATTTCTATAGATTTATAGTTATCATAATTTTATAAAGCTTTATAGACACATGAATTAAGTTATTTTCTTTTCATAATTTAATTACGTTATAATTTAATTGTAGTTCAATTATTTTTGATGCGTCACTATATTGTTAAACAAATTCAATGAAAACCCTGAATACGTGGTTAAATTTTCATCAAATTAGATAAAAGTTGAAATTATCGAAAACCACAAATAGGTAACATTTTAAATCACCCTGAATTGAGCGAATTACGAATTATTTTAATTTAAACAAAAATAAAGTGTTATAAAAGTTTTAGATGTAAGTTACAATCTTATTATAATGAATTTTATTTCAAAGAATCTTATAAAGAATTTTATTTTACAGTTATTCTAGTTTATGGTGAAAAAAAAGGTAAGAATTTTTAGAGGAAATTTAATTTTGAAAGAGCTATAAATTTTAACTGCTTTGGTTTTAATTTATCAAAAAATGTTTTCTTGAATAGCTAAGTTGGATATTGTTGAAGTAGAATTAAAAGAAAAAAAATATATGTCGTACTAAAATCAAAAAATTAAATTAATTAAATTATTTAAAAATTAAAATTATGATGATTTTTATGATTTTGATTAGTAAACTAACATGTTGTGTGTAATAATAGCTCTGTTATTTGTTTATAAGAGCTTCAGATGCTTGAAAATTGTCGTTTAGTAGAGAAAATAAAAGCTTAACATAATTTATAAATTAAATAGAAATTACAATAAATTCTTCATTCAATAAGTATAATCACTGATAACATTTTCTGATCAGGCTTGTTCCTCTAGTGGAAATCAATTCTACTTTTATGAAATATCTCTATAACTGCTTAAATCCTTTAAACAAAATTTGAAAACCTTTACATATATGAAGCACTGTTTTGTCTTTTTAAAAAGTTATTACTTACCCTTTCCCCAATAGCATACATTTAAGGATTAAGATTAGGAAAAAAGACCTTGGCAATAATTTACGGTGATTTATAGGCAAATGATAAATTCCTTAATTATCTCTACGAAGTGGTTGATAGTTTCTAATTTTACCACTACTACTTCTACGAGTAATTTTATGAAAGATGTGCGTAGTTCCTATCTTCTCTATAGCACTAATTCCTTTTTTTTCCTTATTATAAACTTGTAAAATAAAATTTTATTTTGATAAGATAACTATTTTTATTTGTATTTGGAGCTCAATACTGTACTTTTCAATAAATTTATGATATTTAATACATGCTTAACCAATATGTTTTATTTTTTCCTTACTGACCAATATGTTTTTCCTTCCTAACCAATATGTTTTATTTTAGTTTTAGTTCCTGAAAAAAGAGTTTCGACAAATATTTAAATCTATGTTATATATCATAAGAGCAAAAGTCTGTATTAAATAGAATAATAAGAACAAGCGCAAATCACTTTTAAAAAAAGAACGCTTCAAATTGTTTGTAAGTTTCAGTAATAGTGTCATTTACTATTTGAAATTAATTCAGACTTTATATATTCTAAACATATTTTAATTAATAAATCAAATTTACATATTTATTGGTGGCATTCATAACTTTTAGTAAATTTAAATAAATCATGAAATATTTTACTCTTATATATTAAAATTATATCGATACTAAATAAATTGTTCTTTTCTTTTATAGGGCAAGTTAAAGCTGAAAGTGAAGGAGATGGTAATAAACAGTTATTACTCTAGAGTATTCAATTAATAATTTTCAGCAAATTATATTTTAATATTAATTTATTACGTTTATTATATCGATACTATACATACGAAATAATCTAATTATATATGAATCGATAGGTATAATGTCGGGAATATACTTAGAATTATTCCTTATATTTTCAGGATCTGCTGTCGTAGAGGAGCAAAGTAATATATTTTTATAATTGCATAAAAGTAATTTTTGACGCATACAAGAATTTTTTTATGTAAATGTTGCTATAAAATTGTAATATGAACTGGCATCATAAATTTTTCTAAATTGCTCAAAATAAAAAAAAAAAAAATAAAANATCCACTAAGTCGTCAAAATCAATATTACATACACATAGTGGAAACAAAGCACTATTATATATATATATAAAAGAGCCTTTAATCAATATTATTTCAATTAAAAACAATTTTTTGTTTTCTATAGACAGAAATCGTATACTTTCGAACAGCAAGTGTTGCGTCTTAGTGTCTTATATAATAATGGCATTCATTTTATATGCGTTTTTTTTACGAAATTCTCTTCATATCTTTCGAAAGAGACTCAATCCACTTATAGATATCATTCTGTACAGCACAGAACATAAATAACACGAACTGGAAGAAAGACTAAAAATTATTATCATTCTAAAGTTATTACAGTATTTTTTAAAATTAGATTTATATTTTATATATTAAACGTTTGATTCGCAATTTGAAAACTAAATGGTATAATACGTATTGCTTTGTCGAAATAAATCCAAAAACAACTAAAGGGCATGGCAAAATGAATTAATCATTTATTAAAATTTACGCATTGGCATTGAAACAATGTCTGCCAACAAGAGGTAGTGCCAGTTCCCCCAGATTCATGCGATTGCTGCATGAATGATAAAGAATATCTTTAAAGACTTGAATAAATCTCAAACATGGCTTCAAGGATGGCGAACAAGTTTAACTTAACAATTCAATTTGTTCTGCAGATCCGGATAGTTCTGTAGAAATAAACACCAAAATAAATACAAGACAATACAAAATTAAATAATTATTTAATAAAACATATGCATTGGTATTGAAACAATGTGCGTCAACAAGAGGTAGTGCCAATGCACCCACATCCATGCCATTGTGGCATGATTGATAGATGATATTTTTTAGGAAACGAATATTTTTAAGGCAGGAGAACGCAACAAAGTTTAGAACCCTTAATGTTAGTTCTATATTTTGTGTATTTTGCCATATGTCGAGAACTTTTTAAGCGAATTGAAATATTTTTTGAACATAATCATATAATTCGTTTATCCAAAGATAATTTCCTGCAATAAATTTTTTTTTAAATTATTTTATTTAATAATAGTTGAAAAGATTTTGAAGCGTAAGGTATACAAATTTTTCATAATTTTAAAGAATGTAATTTTGCGCAGCAAAATACAAAATTTGAGCGAAATCGGTTGAATAGTTTCTGAGAAATTGAATCTTAAAAAGTCCTTTTTTTTAAAAATTTCATTTTCCTGGAACTATTAAACCGATTTTGCTCAAATTTTGTATTTTGCTGCGCAAAATGAATTTCTTTAAAATCATGTTAAAACTTGTATCTTAAAACTGACTGAAACATTCGAACTTCATATCTTTATTTTTGAATTAAGCTTCTCTACAAACATGTTATTTTAAGTTACACAGGATACTACGAAAAATTCACGAATTAATTCCGAAAATATTACACAAATATGCTGGCGACAACTAATATTTTATTTTACCTAACTTTCATTAGGTGAAAATATTCACATACATTAAAAATTCATTAATCTGAAGAAAAAAAAGGCGCACCTACTTAATGAATTTAAAATAAGCTCAACGTAAAATTTGCATTATTACAATTAATTCAGAAAACATCGCACACAAATATATATTTCTTTTAATAGTTAATCTATTGATTTTCAGATGGGCAAATCTATGATAAAGTAGAAGGCAGTAAGTACTTCAAATTATTTAACGCGAATTTCTTTAATAAATGCATTTTTAACAATGTCTTTTCTACTTTTTAGATGCTTATGGAGAAGGATCATATAGTAAGGCAATAATCACTCCTATATAAATCTCTATTAAAACTATTGGTATTAATAATGGCGTTTTTCAAAAACTAGATTTAGTTTGTCAAAAAAACTTTTCGTTCGAACAATGTCATTTCCCTGAATAACCTTTGATCTAATGATCAGATTTTCACATACTAATGATCAATCTAAACTGTTCAAGGGCTAAACCTAAAGGCCTGGTTTCTTAGGACAAACGCCTTATCTGGGCGTCAGCGTTAAGTTGACGTTACCCTGACGCCAACAAAATACTGGTTTGTTAGCGCAAGGCCCGGTTTCTTAGGACAAGCGCCTTATCTGGGCGTCAGCGAAGTTGACGTACCTCTGACGCCAAAAAAATACTTTTTTGTTAGCTCAGCGTGAGCAGTCGGTTCAGAGCAGACATTATCTCCCACTGCGCATGCGTTAATAACGTAAACAAATATTTATTTTGAATTTGTATTGATTTTGTTATTGTCGACCAGTGCTTTAGAGAACTAATAATGACTTTGTCCTAGAAAAAACACATTATAGCTGAGCTAAATGAAGAGTGCTATGTTTAATGAAGAAGCTATGCTTAATGTTAAAATCAAAATCTTGGCTGATTTCAATCTGCTGTTGGATGTTGTCCGCCATTGCTTCTGTCGTTAACGTTACGCTGTAATCCAACTGCAGTTGAATTGGACGGCAATTGTAGTTCAAGATGAGCATTCAATGACGTATACTGTCGAACTCACAAATGGACCAATCAGAAGTTAGCGCTGATTTCCAGCTGACGCCGACCTGTCCTTAAGAAACCAGACCTTTAAATAGTTAATTGATGCATGCAGATGATATTTTAAATAACGAAGTCAGACAAAACAAACTCTCTGTATAAACATGCTTTTTTTTCGAATAATTTGATTATATGACGTGATTTGATTATATGATCGAGAAAATGTGGTTTTAATAATTCAGTTAGAAGATGGGACAATCGGTTCGCCCTTTTATGTTAATTTTACTTTTTACTTCATCTAATGATCTTGACAATTCAATCCTCCAAAGATAGTTCCATAAAAACATAATTTTTAATAATTACTTATTATTTTCCATTATTGCATTTAATAAGGATTAAGTTAACAAGAATTTTAACGTATACAAATTTTTGCATAATTTTAAAGTATGTAAATTTAAATTAAAAAAAACAATATTTGGACGAAATCGGTTAAATAGTTCACAAGAAATCACGTTTTATGTATACGGCCTCTTTAAAATAGGATAACTCAGAAACTATTCGACGAATTTTATTCAAATATTTCATTTTGCCATTTACAATCGCATTCTTTGATACAATTTGAATTTTTACTTTTTACCTTAAAGTTAAATTTTTCCAAAACTTTTATCAAAATATAATAAATGATTAAGAAATATTTTTTTACATAAAAGTTTTTTGGATAAAGGGATTTTGTGATTGCTTAAAATGTGTTATGATTCGTTTAAAAAAATATCAAGGATAATAAAATACGCCATAAGTAAAAATTACATTAAGCTTACATATCGACCAATTACCTGGAAAAAAAATTAAAAATTAAAATGGGTAAGAAAATAAAAATCAATTTGGGTTGAAAAATTCTTACGTAGGAGGGTACCAATTTGGGTTTATACTAAATTAGATAATGACTCTTGCCTGTTTTGATTATCGAAGTGTAGCCATTTTGAAAAAAAAAACTAAATTGGGTAAAAAAGAAAAACAATTTGGGTTGAAAGATTGTTAGGTATGAAGACACTCGATTGGGGTTCATACTAAATTGGATCATAACCAATGCCTTCTTTGGTTATTACCATGAACCAAGTTTGGGTACCTCAAAACCCATTCTGAACGCCACTGGATATCAATTTTAGGTAGTTTTTAACATCCAATTTGAATACAGTATCATCCAATATGAATATCACTTAGAACCTTTTTTTAGAGTATACTCTCTTACAAAATTGCTAAGGAATTAATCTCCCACTTTGCATGACGAAATTAATTGTGAATATTTTATTATCATTAATCATTTAATTCTTTATTTAAAACAAAACTCTAAAACAGTAAACACGAAATACAATCAAAAACATCGGCCTATTAGTGAAGAATTATTAGTTAATTTTATTAGAACCTGAAAAAAGGGCACACATAACAAGTCATATAATGTCTCATTTAATTTTTCAATGAAATTTGTGTTTAATTTTTGTTTAAGCAATCCAACAACTGCTTCGCGTTTCGTCCATCAAAATTTTCTTCCAGCAACACGTTGCTTAGTAATAAGCAAGAAGGAAATTCTATATTAAAAATCTACTAAATTGTCAAAATCAATATTACATACACATAGTGGAAACAAAGCACTATCTTCAGTAGGAATCGCTATGCATATAATGTCTCATTTAATTTTTAATGAAATTTGTGTTCAATTTTAATTGTTTTAGTAATCCAACAACTGCTGTGCGTTTCGTCCAGCAACACGTTTCTTAGTAATAAGCAAGAAGGAAATTCTATATTAAAAATCCACTAAGTCGTCAAAATCAATATTACATACACATAGGGGAAACAAAGCTCTATCTTCAGTACGAATTGCTATGAATTTCAGTGACTCACTCGTTTCCGGAATTTTATCCTCATTTTATTATCAAAACTAATAATATATTTTTTTTACTTCCAATGTCCACCTGTGTTAACATTTTTCAATTCAGGCATTTACAGGGTATATTTGTTGGCCACTCTTTTAGGGCACCATATTGGACCTGCCAACGTTGCTCCCACAGTAGTGACAGATAGTTCAGAGAATGAAAGAACATCCATGTCTTAACCGGGATTCGAACCCAGAACCTTTCCGATATAAGGCCAGTTCCCTGCCCCCTACACAGTTCGTTCGGCATCTGATTAATATTAACTTTAACATCTTATTATTGTTAATGACCTTGATAGATTTTAAAAGAAAAGGTGTGAAATAACTACAGTAGAAGATCTTTATAACGCAAAGCTAACATTGTTTTTGCCTTTTATAGATTATTTCACGCATAATTAATAATAAATACGATAAAGGAAACTTCAAAAATACGAATATTAACATTCTAATCTAATTTAAAAACATCAAAATATAAGATTTAATTATTTATTCACAGAAAGAAATGAAATTCTTAGCAATAATTTGCTCACTAACTGATTATCAGTATAAAAATTTCAAATTTTTTGTACATTAGATGCTATTATTATACTAATTTTACAGTAATCATAATGATTTCTTTAATTTCGGAGTTATGAAAGCTTATATAGGTGTTACTATATTTTGGGTAACATTCTAAAATAGGTTTCATTTTTGATGGTCATGAATCAAGGCCTATCGAATAAGAAGAAACATTTAACAGTTGAAAGGCTAACAATTGTGTATGATTGCTAACATTTTTCGTATGAGAGGAAACTTTAATTTAAACGCCTACTCGTAATGTTTCAAAAAATATGTATATAAAAAGAATTACGTTTTTATTTGGAACCAAATAAAACGTAATCAGATATTTTTGTGAAATTTTAAAAACATTTTTAAGATTTCTTTTCATACGAGAAATAAAATTTTGAGAACTACGCTTAGAGATTTTTCCTTTCATGTAAACTTGAAAAAAATCTTTTTTTAAAGTCAAATTCAAAGTCAGTACAAAGATTTTTTAGTAATGTCAAAAAAATTCATTAACATGGAGGTGATTAGCATAATTTATGGATCTTTCGTATTTTTTTTTACTCAAATAACAGTTTTTCAGTGAAGTAAAATTCGTTAACGTATTTTCCCAGCAAATTAAACCGTTTACTTTTTTATAATAAATGTTCTTTTGCAAATATAAACTATGTTTATTTCTTTGACCTTAAACGCAGAACTTTGTATTAAAAATCTATCTGAAAACATTACTCACTTCTCGTATTTCATCAAGTTAAAGAAACAGCTTAAACCGTGATAAATTTCGAATAATCCAGTGAAAAAACAGTCGCAGAATATGAACTTGCTATAGGCCATGACTGTCTGGTGAGCCATATAGGTATATTTGTAAGTCCAAATTGCCCTTTATGTGAGAAGGACGAAGTCATGGTCAGGAACAACTAAATAGAAAGCTCGGCTTTGTGAAGAGACTCCAAAATGACAAGATATTGGAGTGCTAGAAACATGTGATGACTGGACATTGAGTTTTTTTTTCTTGCTGTATTTCTTGTAATACATCATGTTAATTGTTATTTTGTAGGAGTTTGTAATTTTCTATTGTGAAAATTACAATTATAATGATAATAATCAATGCGTTTTCTTTCAGATTATGAGTATTATGATGAAGATGGTGAGATTTTAATTGATTTATCAAAACTAAAGTACATGAAAAACTGTCCATTAGTTTCAGAATTATGTAAATCATTACTCACTCAAATATACTTACAAATAGGTATCCCACATTAATTTAAGTTAACTGTTATAAACTATTTTGAGAACTACTGAATACTAAATTAAATTAAATCTAAAATAATTCATTTCAGAAAAATAAATGCAAAATTATTTGTTTGGATAAAGTATTAGAAAATTTCTAAAATCAATACAGTGCTTTGGATTTGGTGAGTTGCGAAGGCAAAAATATATCATTTCTCTCTGAACAGGAATAAGACCAATTACTTTTTTCTTTTCTATAGAAATCCTCTCTATCACAATGATGTTTTCTTTTTCAAACAAACATAATAATGTTTATCTTTGTTAAGTACATTTCGTGCAAGTCATAAACGTGTTTTTTAATTTAAAAATTTTACCAGTTAATTAACAAAATTTACCATTTAATTAACAACTAGTTTATTACCAGTTAATTAATTTAAAAAGTTAATTAACAAAAAAATTATTTTTGCCAGTAAGCTTTAAAATTTGCACGTAAGAAACAACATTGATCATTTTGTCACTGATTCTTTTATTCTACACTGTATTAGTGGTGTCATTAACATAATGATTTATTTTGTAAAAATTTTATAACATTTTTAACATCAGATAAAAAATAATCGTATAAATAAATAACAAATTTTTATTCAATAAATATTTAACTAATAAATACTTTTAACAGCTAGTAATTTTGAATATCAATATTTATTCTATTATAATTTTTTATTCTTCTATTTTTTACTATTCTACTTATTTCTTCTTAATATCTACGACAATCGCAATCTAACATTTACTTGGGCAATATAACCATTTGGTAGGATAAATAACGAAAGGTTAGTTAAATATTAAAATATTATGTTAAAATACGTAAAAGTGAGCATTAATTATTTATTAACTGCTTATGTAATTTGTGTTCTTTTTCCTTACTATTTAATACTTTAAGAATGCTTTCCATTGAACTCGAAACAGCAATTTTTACTCTTAGCTTTATCTATCTCTTAATTAAAGAGTCCTAAAGGCTGCGTATGCCACCACATTATGGGTGTTCTATCTACATTTTATTTTGATGCGCAAAAACTAAAAGGCTTAGAAACTTGAAATTACTAATATATGTAGAAAACTGTACAGGAAGTACAATGGAATAAAAAGAATTAACATTATTTAATTAGTTCGTGAACTGTAAAGTTAGAAGGAAAAAAACCATACAGATCACTCTACAGGCCCAAGAAGTTGCTACATAATTTAAATTCGGTATACTGAAGATGGCATATTTATTTATGAACATAAACATAGATTTTTTTTTTTCGAAATTCTAATTTTTCCAAAGTTATTGAAATTTATTGTGAATTTTTTTTCACTTCTTTTTGCTTTACGTTATACTTCACTTTATTCCACAAGATTCTAAAGACTTAAAAATTTAAAATTACGAAAGTATGTATGAAAAAAAACGGAAAACACAACGAAGTAAAAAAAAAAAAAGATTTGACATTTCGTTCAAAAATTATTAACTGCTAAACTTGTAGTAAAAAAAATAATAAGTGTAGTCGATCTTTAGCCTGCTGAAATATAACTGAGGAGTTAAAATTTGAGGTTCTGAAAGAACCTTTTTTATTTGCGAACTTAGCTTTTATTCTGTTTTTCCTATTTGTTCGAAAGTTATTTCAAATTTAAGTGCTTCCTTGTAATATTTTCAGCTGTTTCGCTTTAAATACTAAGTATTTATCCTTTGTTGTATATAATGTATTGTTCTGTATTCGAGATCTTTATTTCGTTGATTGATAAGTTCGCTTTAAAGTTATTGTCAATCGAAATTAGTAAAAAATAGAAAGAAAGAGAGATTAAATGTTTCCAGCAGTAATTCTTAGTCATTTATAGGGAAACTTTTAGAGAATTGATATAATTTTTATTATTAATATAATTTTTATTAATTAATATAATTTTAATTAATTAATTTAATTTTTATTAATTAATTTAATTTATTAATTAGTAATTTTTTATAGTCGTCCCCTACTTGAATCATTATAAGTCTCGTCAACGAGTCAAATTACTTCTCATTTATCATCTCTTGATGAGTCCCACAATCCTTAGCTAACCTTTGTTTTACAACAAATCTTTTTTAAATACCTATTTAGAAATATACAATTTAGAAATTTTCTCTTAATGACCTAAAGATTTTGTTAGAAAAGCGATTTTTATAATTTTTTTAGAAGTTCATTTATGAAGTTATGCATATAATGAGTTCTTATGAGGGTCATTCAAATGAAACCTGGACAGTGCGTCTTATTTTGCGTTAGACGTAATGGGGTGCCATGTCACTGCGTGCATGACGGCACCATCTATTGGTAGAGAGACTGGCGCATGCGCAACGTTTGACGTTGCATAGCGGTAGTGTAGTTGCATGCCGAAGAGAAGGAGGTCACACAAGTTATCGTCCAATGCGGTGAAGACGATATTGCAGCAGTTTCAGTGGGAAACGCTGGAAGATCCACTGTAGAGTTCAGACCTTTCACCGTGTGACTTTCATGTCTTTGGACCTCTAAACAAGCTATTTGCTGACATCGATTCACAACGGATGATGACGTGTGTGACTAGGTCCCGGCATTGATTCGACGGCAGCCTACTAGCTTCTTCAAAGATGGAATCGACCGGCTAGTGTCGCTATAGGATAAATGTGCCAACAGTTTTGGCGACTACTTTTTAGTATGTGTACTGTGTATAACTACATTTGTGAGTTAATAAAATCGTTACCGTTACTTTACACTAGTGACCAGGTTTCATTCGAATGTAGTTGTTGTTGTAGTTCATTTACGTCGCACTAGAGCTGGACAATGGGCTATTGGCGACTGTCTGGGAAGCATCCCTGAGGATGATCAGAAGACATGCCATCACAATTTTGATTCTCTGCAGAGGGGATGGCACCCCTGGTTGGTTTTCATTCGAGTGCCCCTCATATAATGAAGTTCAATTAGCACGATGCCCTTATTCTTATTCTTGAATTTACAAAAAAATTAGTTTTTGAAAATCAAACGCAAAATGTGATTTTTATTTATAACATTTTACATGTTTTCAAAAAGGTTTTTATTTCAATTTGCGAAATATGCACAACATTCTGATTACTATTCTATTTCGTCTTAGCAAAACTAAAGTGAATTAAGATAAATAACATTTAAAAGAAATTAGTTTTGGATTAAATAAAAGTTATAATATTTTGTGTTGCAGAGTACAATATTAATACAGAGGCACCAAATGGAGGCAAGTTACTTTCTTTATTCTTTTAAGTTTCAATTATATATATTTTTTTACTTCATATATACAGAAATAATCGTTTCCTAAGAGGAGTTTAAAGTTCAAACAATATCTCAAAATGTTTTCTAATTACACTCTCTACAAAATCATTGAAGAATTGTTAGTTTTTCTTTAATTATTATTTAAAGTAATATTGATATTGACTACATTGACAAAAAGTAACTGTAAAAGTGTTAGCTCATTATGATGGAAAAATAAGAATAAATATTTAAGCAATTTTTTTAAAGTAAAATAAAGTTATCCTTTATTTTAATTAAGTGCTCTTAGAAAAGATAGTTAAATAAAATAATTTTTTTTTCTTTTTAATTTGCAATATTCAAGCAAGACAGTTAAATAACCGCTAAAAAACGGTATTCAAACTGTTAACTGTGAGAAATTTTTTTTTTACCTAATACGGCTAAACAACCAGATTTTTTCGGCTCCAAGTCGGGCAACATTCTATGAGAATGGAGCGCACGTTCACCGGAAGGTGGAACTAAGCCGTATGATAAGGATAATGAATTCATATTTTTATTTTCCATCATCGGATATCTAATAACATTTTAGTAATAAATGTTCGGTGAACACCTTAAGAAGCCACTTAGTTCCTTGTAACTGGGTTCTTCCTGCAGCCGAAAAAGCTAATATGTCACTGTCATGATCAGCAGAACGGGGGTTTGATCCCCAGCGTTGATACCAAAATTATTCTTCGATTCCTTTAACACATGAGAAGTTTCCAGTGTCCTGCATCAATTGATGACCGTGGATTAGTGGAATACGAAACTCTCATTTACGCATAGATGGTAGCACCACATAGGAGCTTAATTAAAAAAATCTAGTATTTTTCATCGCTTACGATAGATGATGCCTCTATGTAGTTTAATCAAGCCATGATCTACGGGTCACTTGACAAAACACAACTCAGTCACAATCTAACTTCAATGCCCTAACTCTAATTTACGTTTAAAAAAAAGCATAGCTTTAATGCCCAGTTATATTCAATATTTACAGTTTTGAAACCATGATAGTTATGAATGGTTAAAAACCGTATCGTTTTGTATTTAAGGTTTTTCAACTGTACCAGTTTTTAATGGTTTCGAACCTGTAGAAGTAAAAACATGTTCCTAACCGTAAACGTTGCGGTTAATTGGAAGAAAAGACGGATACCGGTTATTCTACTGTGATTTTTGAGTGAAAAATTTAAGGGCGAACGAGTTATGAACGAGTTTTACGGTAGTTTATTTCTGAAGTCATTTTCGAGTTCCAAATAATTTTCTCAAATTATTATTTACTCTAAGTTTTTTTGTTATAATTTGTTGTATAACTAGAGTTCGTAAAATATATTGAATTTGAATTTAAAAATTTAAGAAAACAGATTTCTTGGAATGCATTTTGAAATTAATAAAAAATACGTGAAATTAATAAAATTAAAGTACTTTTTTTTCTTATTTGAACTTTAAATTAAATAATACTCGTAATGTTTTAGAAACTGCGTATGATAAAAATAAAATTTTAACCCCTCAACTTAGCAGTCCGAGATAACTCAAGCTGAGATAATTGTGAAGTTAAGGGAAAATGCTTATTATGTTGTTGTTGTTTTTTCAAAAATTTTAAACATTCATGGTTAAAATAGAATCGTTTTCGTCACATAACTCTTTATCTGAACTATAATTAAACTAAAAACTAATTCTCCTTTTAATTGGACAACAGGTTTTCGATTATTTATTTTATTATTTACATTCTATCACTATTTTATTTTTTATTTATTTATCTTTTTTATTGTAAGAATTAAGCTCATTTATTGTTATTTATTTGCTGTAAGAAGTAAGCTAAATATTCTTCCCAAAAATTAGACTGGCAGTTAGTTTTGTGGAAGTTCTATTGCCTCTTCGCAAACCACTCACTATGAAATGGAGTTTTAGAAATTTAAATTACTAAGCGAAAAGTTTAATCTTACTACTTAAATCGTGTTATTAGTTTTTATCTAAATTAATTTCCAATGTTTTACGCAAAAAAAAAATTTCTTAATTTTAACAACTTAAAAATATTCATTTTTCTCGAAATGAAATTTAAAAATTTTTTTTTGATAATTTTGACGACTGCAAATTTTAATTCTATTATTGTTTCATCAAATATACCAATTTCTATTCAATAATTTTTTAATCAACTTATTGCAAAAGTACCAGTGGAAATTTTTATTTGATTAATAAATTATCAAATAGAAGCTAATAAAACAAATCTTATTCTTTATTTAATACTAAAAAACAACAAAGAAATTTTATTTAAGTCATTTTTCCCGTAAGAGTCTTAAATTTTCCATTTCCCTATAAAATGAATTATAAATGAAAAGTTGTTATGGTTTTTCTAATTTTAATAAAATATTATCCATTAAAGTAAGAAATATTAATTTTATTAATGAATCAGTTTATAAGTACCAGGTTGCTTTTCCTAAATAAGCAAAATTTTAAAATTACAAATGCCTCTGTGAAATAATTTCTAATCGGAAAACTGGGTTAAATTATCTTATTTTATTGAAAAAAATACTATTTAATAGTAAGAACATTTATAAAAATCTGGTTGTTTCCACCAAATATATTATAATTAATAAAATATAATAAGTATGATAAAATATAATCCATTAAAGTAAGAAATAATAATTTTATTTATGAATCATTTTATAACTTTTATGTTGCTTTGTCTAAATAAGCAAAACTTTAAAATTACAAATGCCTCTGTGAAATAATTTCTATTCGGAAAACTGGGTTAATTTATCTTATTTTATTGAACAAAATACTATTTAACAGTAAGAACATTTATAAAAATCTGGTTGTTTCCCCCAAATATATTATAATTATTTTAATTACATTTGTATCTGTAAATAACTCGTAATGGGAAAACTGTCTTTTTTGCATATTTCTTGTATATTTTTATGAAAAAATACTACTTTAAAGTAAAAAATATCAAAAGCTGCTGATATAATAAATTATCGATATAGAAATTCTAAAATTTCAACCTTTTCTTGGTTGAAATATGATATTTCAAAGCAAATTTTGGTTTAAAAACTTTTGTTTAAAAACTTTTGTTCGAAAGCTATTTACAAGTCAAAATTGAAATATTTTCTTTCTAGAAGCTTTAAATTTTTAATTAATTTTAATATTTCTTTTTCCTTTTCTAGCAAGGAACCGTAATGATTTTACTGATTAGAAAAATTATAATTATATAAAATACGAAATATAAAAACATTTTCCTAAAGTTATGCAAAAGTGGTTTAAAATATTAACGCTACATGTATTCTTCTAGGAAAAATCATCTATAAGATATATCAAGGTAAGACTTTTAATAAAATTCAAAATAAGTACTTAAATGATCTTGTTTTTTAATATAAATTTAAAATTAATTATTTTTTTATCAATATCCATTTTTTGATGGTATAAAAATGGATATTCAATAACAATGAATATTTTGAATTAACTAATAAAAATAACTCCTGATATCTGTGTACATTAAAAATTCCGCCACTCAGTACTCAGTCAGTACTTCTTACCGTAAAATTCAACAGAACAAAAAATCTAATGTACCGTAATTTTTACAGTAATATTTACAGTAGAATATCTCAATCTCTGCTACAAAATAAATATTGCAGTAAAAATTTTGCTATAAAATTTTGCGTAAAAATTGATTTTGCCTTAAAAATTTATTTTACAGTAAAATGGATTTTACAGGGTGTCAGCATATTTTACAGTAATTTGATTCAGAATTCTTTACAGTATGGATATTTCATACTTAACTCGACTTTACATTCAACTTGAGTGCTCTTATGTCAACTGGTTAATTAGCTATCTATACCGTTAACTATATATCTACCACTCCTCTTTCCTTCTTTTAAAACGTTGGATAGTGGTATTTCTTAAGCTACTATATTCCTTATAATATCACAAGTGTTTAGTTTTCGTTTAGAAAATCTTTTACAATTTTAATACGTAATATTTTGTAACATCCATAAAATATTCCCAGGTTATACTTTTTCGTTCATTATTGCCTTGCATGTAATATGCAAATGAAATGTCCTTTAACATGCTTAAAACACTGAAAAAAAGTCCTTAGTGAGGTATGTTTATTTGTTGTAATTAGAACAAAAACATTCGTCAACATTTAAATAGCAAAAATGGTTTTATCGATAGTTTGATAAAAGCGTAATGTTATTAGATTATCGACAGTCGTAAAAGAAGGTAATTGAATTAAAAATTCTTAGTCATTAAGTTAATATCATTACGTTTTAAAATTTTATTATTTAATTAAATTTTTAGAAAAAGGAAGCAAAGATACTGAGCAACAAGACCAAGGATCAGGAGGTAAAGGAGGTAAAATATTTACTTTACTCAATAAATACTTTTCTCAACTTTACTGGATTTCAACAGTAAAGTCAACTTTACTGGATTTAATTGTGTTTTTGTATTGAATGAGTAAAAAAAAAAGGAAAGAAAAAAAATTTAGTTTTTTGTTTTACTACGTGGAGCAATTTCACACTTCATTTCTAAATTATTTAACTATTTTACATACCATTACTTGAGATAAATTGATACTATACTGTATTGATACTATTACTATTAATTTAGATAAATAGAGACTTTTTTAGAGGCTTAATTACGTAGATGCTCTTTTGTACTTTGTAGAACTGATCCGTCAAAAAACAAGTTTCTGTTCTTAAATAACAGTATTTTTTGTAAAATATATACTGGAACACCACCAGATAGTTTTTTCTGTAAATTGAACAGTGTTTTTCTGTTGTAATTTTAAAGAAATTTATCGGCTAAAAACAAGCATCCGTTTTTAAATAACAGTATTTTTTGTGAAGTAAACAGTCACACCAGCTGACAGCAGTTATACTGTCACACCAGCTGACAGTTTTTTTTTTCGTAAATTTAACAGTTTTTTTTTTGTACTTTTGTAGAATTATCTGCTTAAAGCTTAGCATCCGTTTTTAAATAACAATATTTTTCTGTGAAATAAATATCTTCATACAGGCACACCATCTGACAGCTTTTCTGTAAATGAAACAGTTTCTTTACAGTGTAATAGCTCCTAAATAGAATCTTAGTTTGCAAAAGATAACCTGAATTTGTTTTTAAAAAATTAAGATCTCTGAGGTAAATAAACTAAATGCTCTAAGATAAAATCTGAACTTAAGATTTTTAGAGAGATATCTAATTTTTATTACACTGCATATAATAAAAAATATACACCCATTTCTTTAAACTTTGTTTACTATTTTTATTTTTAAATTAGTAAAAAGGTTTTTTAAAATTGAGATTAGAACATAAAAAATTTTATGCTGTTCATTATTATACCTAAGTAATGTGATTGGTAAAACTTAGGAATCGGCTGAATTTTGAAAATAAAATAAAATAAAATATTGTAAAAGTACTGCTTTTTTTAAAAAAAACTTCATTAGTTTCAAAAATATGCAGATGGTAATAAAAGTCGACACGTTTAAACCGCACAAAAATAGATGCCCATTCTCACGCCCAGCCAGCTGCGCATGAGAAGAAGCAAAAGCAATTTGAAATACTAAATGTTAAGTTTCCAACGAAAAATGGAAAATAAAGGTAAACTAAACTAGAAAAAAATGCTGTTGTTGAGAATGAAACAAAAATAAAGATGAAAAATCACTGTGGATGAGAGAAGCGAATCAGGATAAAATGTATTTTCACTCATTTTGGAGAGGTAGTGAGGAACTAATGTCTTTAACATGGTAATGAAACAAGATTCCAAGGTATCTAGGTGAGCTGAAGTGATTGGAGTGGGAATAATTTTGGCATTGTCGAAATTGAATTTATGTCTATGATTCCAACAACAAATGCAGCAATTGATGACTTATCGTATTCTTGTTAACGAATATATCTAAAGTTTTCCTGATGTCGAATTTTTTTTCTTGAAATGTGAATTAATATGGAATAGAACCAAGATGGTTCCCAAAGCATATTAAACATACAAGCTCTAATTATTATATTTTTAAGCCACCTTTATTTATAGATAAAATTATGACAGAAATTTATTAACAAAAACATAAAGCATTTATTCGTATTTCATTAAAAATCCTTCACTTCACATAACCTTCACAAGAGTTTTCGATGTCATTTGGGTAAGTTCACACAACCTTCACAAGAGCTTTAGATTTCATTTGGTTAAGTTCACAAAATCTTCATAAAATTTTTAGATTTCATTAGGTTAAGTTCACATAACTTTCGCAAGAGTTTTAGATTTCATTTGGTTAAGTTCAATTAACCTTCACAGGAGCTTTAGATTTCATTTAAGTTCACATAATCTTCACTGGAGTTTCAGATTTCATTTGGTTAAGCTCACATAACCTTCACAGGAGTTTTAGATTTCATTTAGTGAAGTTCACATAGCCCTCATAGGAGTTTTAGATTTCATTTGGTGAAGTTCACATAGCCCTCATGGGAGTTTTAGATTTCATTTGTTTAAGTTCACATAACCTTCACACGAGTTGTAGATTTCATTTGATTAAGCTCACATAACCTTCACAGGAGCTTTAGATTTCATTTGGTTAAGTTTACATAACCTTCACAGGAGTTTTAGATTTCATTTGGTGAAGTTCACATAACCTTCACTGGAGTTTTAGATTTCATTTGGTGACGCTCACATAACCTTCACAGGAGTTTTAGATTTCATTTGGTGAAGTCCACCATATCCTTCGATTACAGTATAAGTGTCGCATATTCATACATTAAGGAACCATTTCATATAAGACACTTTTTCTCTACTTATTAGTAGAGATTATGCTTGTTCAATAATACCTGATTATTTTTGAAAACTTTCGCCTAATGGACTATTATTGATTATATAAATAGGCCTTTCAAAACCAATTTAGAAAAATTAATTTAATCATTCGGATTATTTTATTTTTCAGGTCTCACTGGCTGGTTTGGCAAATGGGGAGGAGGTAAATTATTTTTGTTTTTTGTAAATTATTTAAACACGATTAACTTGTAGCTTATAAAATATAATAATATACTCGACACATGTAGTAGATTTCACGTGAATAGACGAAATGGAAGAAAAATGGTAAAGAGAGCCAATACTTTTTACCGTGATCCGGGATTTTTTACAGTGTGGATCGAATCGTAGTAAGATTTTTAAGCTCAACCAGGAACTATGGGTGTCTTAAATAATATCTGGAACTTTCCTCGATTCAACATTCTATTTTCCCATTTCCTTTATTTGTTTGTTTTGAATAATGCTGTTTAAAAACAATTAAAAATATAGATACTCAAAGTATAGAGTCTACCTATGACACTAAAAATCACAATTTTCTTATGACTTTGATAGTCTTTGACAGGAATCAAAAATTAAATATTTTTGAAACATCTTCAGCCTGTCAAAAATAATTAAAAAAATAAATATGTTATTCTAATTATCACCAATAATGAAGATTATCGAAAATAACTTGGTTTTGAATCAAATAATGTAAGTTTTTCTTATATGTATGATAAAAAAACAGGGATCTATGAAACCTAAAATTCCAATTAAAAGAAAACATTTTTTTCGTATTTTATTCGTATTTTCATTCTTTTACCATGAAAAATGAAATTTTTTTTCTAAAATAAACTCTAAAATACGAGAGATATTTTTTTTGATGTAAAGGTTCATGTGTCTAGATAAGAATAGCATAATTTATGATCATTTTTTTATTTTACAGGAAAAGAAACTAGTGGTAGTGAAAATCAAGGTATTTAGCTGTATACATATATAATCTTGCGCATTTTTTTAGAAATTGATACAGTATTCTTCATAAAGCATTTTTTCAAATAAAAAATTCATTATAATGAGAATAAATAATGAATGATTGGTTTTGAATAAACAGTATTCTTATACATTTATGCTTTCTATGCATAAAGGCATGGATCCATTATGCACTGTCACTTACCCATGACTTCTTAGGAATCTTTTTTTTAAACAAATTTTTTCTCCAAAATAAAAAATTATTCAATTAAAATATTCCAACATTTTTAATGTATTAATTCATGAAAAATGAAAATAAGTTTTATAATTTTAGTTTCCCACTTTAATCGACAAAATTTAAACCTAATAATTTCGTGTAAATGTCATTGCAATTTTATTTAAATATATAACATTATAATTTTACATACTTTTGTTTGACTTTCTAATTTGATATTTATTTACTATAAACATAAAAGTAGTTAAATATTTTTCACCGAAGAGAGTACGCGGCATTTATACTAAAAGTTAATTATTAATACAGAAAAGCTTTAAATAGAATTTAGAATTGGGAATTTACTTCAGTGACCAAGCATAAAATTTTTTAAATATATAAAATCTAGATATTTTCAGTAATTAAAGTCTATTATTGTACATTTTTGCCATTTTGTTATTTTCAAATTAGGAATAAGATCAGAAAAAGTATAAACATTCTCAAAACTGCAACCAAAACATAAATAAAATAGTACACAGAAATAAATTGTCTTCTTTTCATGCATTGCCGTCATTTACATTAATTGTTTAGGTAGCAATCATTAGGTTAATCGAGTAAAACAAAACAAAACAAAACAATATATANATGTGGACTATATATTGCATATTATTATAAAATGTTATTATTATATTATTATATTACATTATTATATAATTATATCATTATATTTTTTATATAAAATATAACTAATAAACGAACATAGTGACAGCGTATCTCAATAGTAAAAGTATTTTAAATTACTATAATGTAAGTAAATTAGTTTTTATTATTATTTATTGAAAAATAAGTTTTATTTCATCATTTTATACAATTTTAAAATAATAAAGTATTAATTACAGGATCAAAATGGTGGCTAGGAAATTGGGGTGGTGGAAACAAAGGCGGCGGAACTGATAATGATAATGGAGGTAAAAGTATAGTGCTAAAAGTTTTGTAAAATAAATGTGTAAGGAATTTGAAATATATTAAATAACTCAGTTTTATGACATATAGATAAATCCTACTGAAAATTAAGTTTCGATAAAAGACAATGTATCATGTTAGATTTTTATTTATTTTTGATTTATTGTTGAAAAAAATGGTTTGAATCATAAAATAACTTCCTTTTCAAGGTAAAAAGGGTGGGATTCCACATGGAGAAGAAAATTCTTGTTAAATTACCGAACCGTATGGCAATTGCATTTCTGGTAAAAAAAAAGGGTTTATAAAGCCAAAATATACAGTATTTAAACCTTTTATTTGGTAAATGTTTTGTTCAGGTGGTAAATGTTAAACCGGAAATGCTGGTTTTTGAAATTATACTTCGCATTACCACACATTTAGTAAATGCAAAACAGAAAAGTATATTTAACCGGATAAATGAATTATATGCCATTTTTTTAAGTATCATGGTAAAATACCTGCATTTTACTACATTTTCCAAATTTTATCATACCTATGTAAAATTATGTTTTTTAGTTATTATTCCAAAAATCATTACCAAAGTGCTTCGATTAAAAATTGCAGAGCTTATTGATGTACCGATTGATCCAAAAACACGGTAAATTTTACCATATTCTGGTGCTGACCATATTTTTTTCTCAGTGTAATATCGTTTTCTTATACATTTGCGGAAAATACGGTGAAAAACTAAAACATAATTATGTTCCCATGAACCACAATAGCATGCAAATTTACGAAAACCTTAAATATGTGCTTGTGTTTAAGTTGACTCATAATATCGTGCAATTATTGTAATATCGTGGATTAATTTGCATGATAATTTGATTCAATTTGGCAACATATTATGCTTAAACCACTCTTGAATTATATTATAGTTTAATGCGCTCCAAAAATACTAAGAGTGCATGACATCACGAGAAAATGTTCAAGGCCTGTTTCTGGACGGTAACACTATGTAAAGGCGATAACAATAACTTTTCAGATGCGCAGTCACGGTCATAGAAATTAATGCGAAAATTAATATTCAAACCTAATCATGAGATTAGAGGCCTGTTTCTAATCTAAAGATTGTTTTGGGACTATTTTCGATTGTTCAAAATCGTTCCTGATATCCACCAGATAGAAATCAGTGGTTGCTTGTATACTCAAGAGACAAGGACATGAACGTACTGATTAACTTAAAAACTTTATTTTGTTTTGAGAACATCTACACAGCCTTATGAAAAAACTTTTCTAAATACGCTACTGAATATATTGTATATGTATCTATATATATGCTCTGTTTATGCTCAATATTACACTTTGTAAAGGACATTTTTTTTGATCGGCCTGCAAAAAATAGCTTTTTTTGCCGTCAAAGTATAAAATACAGTGAAATCCCTAGGAAAGACAACCTCTATGTAGCGATATCCTTTATTTATGACCACTTTTAGGAAGCATGGGATATTTTTCATTGACTTAGCGATGAGGAAAACCTTTAGAAGAGGGCATCGAAACCACTCCCAGTGACCGGAAACACCTCAGCACCAAATGCGGAAAAGGTCAAATAAGGAAACACGGAAAAAACATCAAAACAAAAAATATTAACAAAATAGATAAATAGATCAGCGATTTGTATGAGGTTTTTATTTAGAGAGCTCTTTTCGATGATATCTGAAACAAATCTACAACCTCATGCTGCAATCAGAATGCAGTGATTTATTTTTTGAGTTGAAAGTAAAATTAGAAAAAACAAAGTTGTTTCAGAAAAAACTAAACATCTCAAACAAACAAACCTCTTCACATTTTTTAAAGCTAACTAATTGCTATGACATAAAATTAAATGCGAACTTAAAATAGTTCTATCATTCATAATTGGTAAATTTGTTTTTACACATAATTATATCAGTAGGGGCCATTTTTACTGAAGCTAAACTTTACTCATCGACCCGGTTTTTATAATGCCTATACAAGTGGCATTTCCGCACCAAGAGCTCTAACTAAAATTAAAATCGTTTGCAAAAAATCATGTACCTTCGAAAATCAATAAAGGTAACCCTTAAGAATGACCAACCTCCATAAATGACCATTTTACTGCTGAACAAAGAGTGGTCACTCCTGAGAGAAGAGAGATGTCCTGTACTTAGTAAAGGGCACTATCATTATTTCGGGTGGATCCGTGTTGCCTCAGGGGTGCACTCCCCTCCACATGAAGTAGCCTGTGTTCAAATACCAGCAATAGCTGGTCGAAATGAATTACGCGTCCGGCTTGCAAAGACCACAGCACTGGCGTAAAATATCCTCAGTGGTAGACGGATCATTGGAGAGAGTCCCTTTGCCCTTAGGAAAAACGTGGGAGGTTTTCAGGGTTTTCTCTCTCCTTGTGACTCAAATGTGGGCTAGTATACCATCAAAAAGATCTACACGAAAGCATACTTCTCCCAATCCAGGAGTTCCCTTGTCTTCTGGATGGGTCCAAAATTACAAGGCTTCGGAGTTGATTATTAGTAGTCGTAAACTCAAAATTGGGTCAACTGTTCAACGACAGTTATAAAATATAAAATTAAATTATTTCAGGTGGGCAGGTCGAAGTGCCACCGCAAATACAGTGTAGTCCACCTAAATGTGATGATCCTGGATGTTATATAGATGGTAGCACAGAGCCATGCCCTTCTTGTGTATGCACAATAACAGGTAAATAAATACAATTTTATTGGTAATGAAATTAAAAATCACTGATTTTTGATTTGCTCAATTTTAACACACATAACACCCACGCAAAAGTTTTATTATAATGTCGGATTATAATTAGTTATAATTATACTAATTAAGGATTTGAAACATTTTAAATGATTTAAGTAATTTCAACCTTAAAATATTTTAAAAATTGCAGACATATGCTTAATATGTAGTATTGTGAAAAAGGATAACAACAAGGCTAATAAAAAAAGATTAGATAGTAATAAAATGTTCTTTATATCACTGAGAAAGTTAATGGCTTAAAATTTCAATGGGTTGATCATGATTGCAATTAACTTACAAGATTGCACTTACAACTTACAACTTCATGCACTTACAACTTCTTGGACTGGAATCGACGCGACATCAAACAATTAAGAAAGCATTTAAAAAAAAAAAAAAACAGTGATGCGGCGAACCATGTCGTTTACTAAAATTAGAAAAGCAGCAATTCGAATCGTAGAAAACAGTAGCAAATAGAAAATTTTATAAATTTTATGGAAGATCCAGAACTTTACAACATCGCCTCATGAACTTACAATGATACTTACAATTTCTTGGACTGATATCGACGCATCAAGCAGTCAATAAATTATAAAGAAAGAAACGGACATGGGTTAAACAATGTGGCTAAAAAGGAACGGAACATAAAAAAGAAACGGTGATTTGGCGAACAATGTGGTTTAGTAAAATTAGGAAAGCAGCAATTCGAATCGGTTGAAAACGATAGTAAATAGAAAATTTTATAAAATGTTATAGAAGATCCAGAACTTTGCAGCATCGCCCTATGAGCTTACAATGAAACTTGGCAGTTGTGGTGATTTGGCGAACAATGTGGTTTAGTAAAATTAGGAAAGCAGCAATTCGAATAGGTTGAAAACAATAGTAAATAGAAAATTTTATAAAATGTTATAGAAGATCCAGAACTTTGCAACATCGCCTTATAAACTTACAATGAAACTTGGCAGTTGAGGTGATTTGGCGAACAATGTGGTTTAGTAAAATTAGGAAAGCAGCAATTCGAATCGGTTGAAAACAATAGTAAATAGAAAAATTTATAAAATGTTATAGAAGATCCATAACTTTGCAACTTCGCCTTATGAACTTGCAATGAAACTTACAATTTCTTGGACTGATATCGACGCATCAAACAGTCAATAAATTACAAAAAAAGAAACGGACACGGGTTAAACTATGTGGTTTAATGAAATTAGAAAAGCAGCAATTTGAATCGGTGGGAAAATTTTTATGAAATATTACAGAAGGTCCAGAAGTAAATTGATAATGGCTGAAGATTTTGAATTTCATTCTATTGGCAAAGCACGATAAAAGAGGGCGCCTGGTCTAAAATCTAAAGCTTGAGGGTCTTCAAAACACATAACTCCGTCTTATAAAACAGGCTATAACATTTTATGAATAGAAAAATTCAAAATTCTTTTAACAATATGCAAAGATATGCAATAATATATGCAAATATAATATATGCAATAATATATGCAAAACATAATAATATGCAATAAATAATCTCATTGCAATAATATCAAAAAACAATCATGCTTTACATTATTACTTTTGGTAATAAGTTTTTTGCAACTTAGATTCTTTTCATTATTGTTTGTTTGTTTTCATTACTTCTAGGTGCATTAAAGGTTAATAAAAATATTTAAAAATTGTATTAATTATGCTAATTTGATGTATTATTTTCCAGAGATCATCACTTTATCACCTATTGAAACTGGTATGAAAATAGTATTTTTGTTTATAACATAGAAGTTGCTAAAAATGACTCATATGTTTTTAAACTGGTCAAAATTAACTCGTTATGCTTTCATCAAAAGCTTAAATTCTCACGATTTCTTTCAAAAAGCGAATTATTTTATTAAAAGAAAAAAGATTTTGAATATTAAAGTTGATTCTGATCTTGCATATAAAGTGCCACATATTAGTAGCAATATATTAATCAATAGAAACAATATATTAATCAAAATATACCAGAAATGAAGTAAGAACATATAATTTTACACTTCTTGTGCTGTAATGACTAAAAAGCTTTTATGCGGGTTTAATACATCATGCTCAAGAAAAATTTATACTCCCACGATTTCTTTCATAAAAAGGGAATTATTTTATTAAAAGAAAGGGTGCGAATATCATTAAAGAAAATTTCTAAAATAGATCCTGATCCTGCATATAAAGTAGCATATATTAATAACAATATAATTAATCAATAGAAGTTATATATTAATCAAATAAACCAGAAATGAAATAAGAACATATAATTTAACTCTTCTTGTGTTAATCCGTCACATTATGAATTTCAATTCAATCCTGTTGTTCGTATTCATCAAAATATGCCGGTAATTTCATCTTAATAAATTATTTAATCAGTCTATGTTTACATTATTTCATCATATTATTAATTTCATAACAAAGGTAAAAAATATATGAAGTACGGGAATATTAAACATTTAGTAAAAACATTATAACATAATTGTTAAAATATTACGTATTATTTAGCCTTTCTTTTGTCATTGTTCAGATTAGCAATTTCAAATCAATTCAACTGGCTATTTTTGTCAAAATATGCCCGTAATTCTATTTTATCGTATTGTTTAGTCATTCAATAATTATCATATTATTAATTCTACGCTAATCACACAAATACATGGATAGTAAAACTCCGGAATATTTATCTCTTTGACAAGTTATTAAAATTTAACTTTTTTAATATAACACATAATTTAAGCATTCTAATGTTGGGCTTCCTAACAGTTGTGTTATGTCTTATTTGTTGGGATTTATTATATTGCCAAATGAAAATAGGAAAAAAAATATACCAGACAAACTTTTTCTGCTGAAATATTTTGCTGTGTTTGATAAAGACCATAAACAAATCAATTTACGTTGTAGTTTAGTTTACTACGCGTACGTAATCTATATATATATTTCTCTTACACGGCGATAAAAAAAAGCCTCATTACAACTCCCCGAATGGCAACGCTAGAAAATCAACCAATGATTGCAGCTAAAAATGTCACATGCTAAATTTAGTTTAGGTGGCTCAACTTATAGCGCTTCTAAAAACGGAAACTGAAATAACCAGAGTGTAAAATAGTATGTGCTTATGCGCATCGTATTTTTTGTTAAATAATTTCATCAAAAATTATATCAGTTTATAGATGGTAGCGAGAAGAGTTTCTAGGTTGCTATGGTGACTAATTAAAATGTCAATTGTTTTTTTGAGTGAGTGTGAGATTTGTTTTTTGGAACTGCGATGCTGTAATTTTATTGTTTAGTTAATAAATCTTCCTTTTATATTAAACGTGATAGTAGTTTCCTTAATTATTTGATTCGAAGTCCTTGGAGTTTTATTTGAGGTCAGTTTATTTTGTATTTTTTGACAAGAGAGATTTGTATTTTTTGACAATGAGATTTCTTCCGAAATTCAATGTTTTGTTTATGCAGGTTTTTCCATTGCAATTCACTTATTTCAATTTTTAATAGACTTAATTATAGCCAAAATTTTAACTTTTTTAAAGAGATATCAGTTTTAGAAATTTTATCTTAAGATTTTATACTATAGCACATTTCTAATAGGTTTAACGAATTACATGTCATTTATTTGAATTCAAATTTATTTTAATGACTTAGTATTTACTAAAAAGATGTAATTTTTTTTTAAAAAAAAAGTTGTTATATGGATTTGAATGATTGTTTTGAATTCTTAGAATTTTGTGCATTTGCAATGTACCTAAGTTAGTAGCGAGCGAAGCGAGCTTGGTTTGCGAAGCAAACCATATAAGATTGCGTAGCAATTTTTGGGGGTTGGCGAGCGTTAGCGAGCAGGGGGCACAGCCCACTAGTATTAAAAATATGTGTTGCTTTGCATTATTAGCTTTTTTGTCGTTACTTTTTTAAGTATGTGCCTGCAGTTTAACATGTAAATTATGCATGTTAATTTACAAAATCTACACTTTTTTTTATTTTTTTTCTATTTTTTTTCTTTTTATCGTCTTGAATAAATAAAGGTGGTGGCGGCGGTGGCAGCAAATGGAGTTGGAACTGGGGTGGAAAAGGTAAGTTCAAACAATTTTACAAATTATGAAAAAAAATTCATAACATGAAATATTATCATTACCATTACTTCCAATTTACGTTTCAGGTGATTAAAAATATTTAAGAAAAGAAATTACAGTGTAACAGCGAAATGTAGTTCAGACGTCAAATAGTTACGTCTTAGGCGAACCAATGCGCATTTTTCAATGATAATAATGTAAAACATTGTTTCAACATTTAAAGCACAAATCATTCTATCACTTTAAACTTTTGAAATAAAACTCAAAAAAAAATCATCTCAAAATTTTATTTTAGTTTTATATATATTTTTAACCCTCCGAAAAAAATTGTGGTTGTCCCTACACTTTCTGCACCTATTAACAAATTTGTTATTTTTAAACGCACTTAAACACTTAAGGCATTGTAAACTCAAAATTAAGCTCCACTCTTCAAATTGACAAAACGAAATCGAAAACCAATAATAAATTGCAAATTTGTAAATATTTTTTTGCGAAATTATGTTCATTATTTATTTTCTTTTTCAATGAATTTCAGACGTAATTTAAGTAAATTGTATCATAATTTATTGGTTTCCTTTCTCCTTAATGAGATACCTGCAAATGACGTAGTGTGGGTAATTCGGTCCTGATTGGTCGTTGAAATATGGCATTTGTTTACGTTAGCAACTGTTCATTCAAATCTATTTCGATTAAGTCAAGCCCACCAAATAGCAATTCTTTTAAGTAATGCGTTCTATATTCTTTCACAAAGATTTCGATTTTTTAAATATATGTTTCTTACTTAGCACAAAGACAGGCAAACTGATTATGCATCGAAGTTGCCAGGTACACAAAACAAAAATACATCAGGGTTACAATATAATACATAAACAAATCAAAAAAATTAAGTAAAAAAAAAGACGTAGACTGGAAAGAATTTTATTTTAACAAATTCGATGTGAGATATAGCATTGCATTTAAGTAAATTCATGTTAAATAACATTCCAACTTGCTCTTCGTGAGCCATTGAGCAGACATTCAGAAAATTCAGAATTTCCAATTCCAGTGTATAGAATTGCATAGTCTAAAAAGTTTTAAAACATGTGTAAAGGATGCGTCATGTAAAATTTAACAGTGCTAATAATTGAACTAAGGATTATGCAGCTAGCTTAACTATTTTACGAAACCTACGTAAAAAGTTCTTTTGCAATGGGTCCCGGCTCGTTGTAGAATATATGGGATTGAAATAACCATTTTTTTTTTTGCCAAAAAGAAAACCAGAATACTACAGATTTCACTTAATTCCATCACGTGTTCAATTATAATGCTAGCAATAAAAAACGTGTGCATCAAGAATTTAGATCTGCAAACCAATTAAGCCCAATAAGAGGTGAAAGGATTCTGCTTTAAATGCGCTTTCTCCCGGTAAGAGATTGGACAAGATTGAAGGACATTTACTTTGGCCCTATATTGTGCATTAAGCGGAACAGATTCTGTAATGGACGCAACGAATCATAAAGAGTGAAATGAGGTGCCTGGAAATTTATATTGTGGCGTAACTACCACTATAGTTATTCAACTCCCATTCAGTAATATATATGACATGTTAACTTAATTTTATCCTGGGTTACGATTGGTAGATGACAGTTGACATAGTCGGTAGCCTTGTCCCACATCTGTGACGTGATTTGAACACGCCTACCTCCATAGTCACGCACGCCCCCATATGAACATGCCTAGTTTGATAGATGGAACACAGTGAACACTCGATATAGGTATGTGATTTCGATATCATCCTCCTTAAGCCATTGCTACTCAATCTCAAGACCAGCATTCGAAGTCCGATGATCTTAATGTGGCTCTTCCAAAAGAAAAAGCAATAAATCAACTAGCGGTAAACGTACATCGAATTCTATCGCGAATTAAATTCAGGTGGAGGAGTAATGTAGCATAACTACCACTACAATTATTCAATTTCCCATTCACTTGTATATAAGAAGTTAACTCAATTCTATCCTCATGTACCTTTTGATAGATGACGGTTGACATTGTCGGTACTTACTCTCCACAATTTGATAGATACTGGCAGACAAGAGGGAAACTTTAAGAGCTGATTGACTTTAGACATGTTTTTAATTTGCATTATAATATTCCATGTTGTTTACTTTTTCCGTGGCTTTATGTTGTGTGTGTTCGTCACACTGTAGTCAATGAACCTATTGATGAAGAGCTAATGATGGAAGAAAAATAATTGAACTGCTGGAGCATATATTCAAACTGAAGCTATCCCCTTGTTTTGAAGAATTTTAAATCCAAATTTGACCAAAAATAATAATTCATTGAAGAGAAACCTTCGGAATTTTTTCCGCAATATTATGCAACCTGTTTAAAGTGAGAAATTGAAATATAAAAATTAAAACTTAAAAAGTTATTAAGAGTTATCTGTTTTTTTTTCTTTATAAACTGAATCGACAAATTATTTTACATCATTTGATCTTAAAAAAGAAGATGTACGTAATAATAGATTAAAAAAATACGACAACAGAAAATACGAGGAAAAATTGAATTCGCTTTGTAAAATATTCCTGTAATTAGTGTTTGTACCTATTGTCGGGACATGCAGTATTTAACTAGTGATTTTTTAATTTTCGAGGTTGATATCTGAGTTTATTTGAATTTAATAATGCTTTCAAAATTGCACAATTTAAAATTCAAAACATAAAGTCCATAAATCAGCCAGAATAAATCGAAAAAAAAGAAGCATTAAGAAGAACGGCCCCAATATAAAAAAGAAGTTAAAATATAAATAAATTAACCATCCGATCATTTACAAAACCATTTATTATTTACAACCATTTGCATTTTAACCATTTACAAAGTAATGTAACCACATACGTAATCATTCACAGAGTAATAAATTTAATTGCTAAACAAAATTTTTATCTTGTTCTTAGTCAACTTTGTAAGGGTATTACTACTAACAAATATGCCAGACTGTGAAGATTCTTTAAAGTTCAGTTTTCAATTGTTTAATGTAATGTGGAATTTCTCATGTGAAAACTAAATTTTTTAGTTTTCAACCCTGACAATTTTTGCGTTTTTAATTGTAATTTATTTATCAAAGAATCAAATAAATCTGAATGTTTCCTGATTTATTCTTATCCAATGTTTCAACTATAAGTTTGAAAAAAAAATTTCTTAAAAAGAACAATAAAAACTGTTAAAATCTATATCAAAGACATCAATTAAAGTAGTACTTTTAATTGTCTTTTAGATGACGGTGGTGGTAAAGTTACTCTGTCACCCATTGAAAATCCTGGTAAATAATTTATTATGTGATTTCGTACCATTATTTCAAATTAAGTTAATTGTTAGTGCTTATTAAGTATTTGTAAGCTTACGTGAATAATTTATTTATTTTGCTATTGCCAGGTGATAAATTTATTTTCAAGTACCTTTTTATCTCTTTAAATTAGAAACGAATTTGAAAAAAAAAAAACATCTCTAAACATTAGCATAACGATCTTCCTGAATCTCCTCAATTTTAATTACTAAAATCCTTATAGAAGGTTATTTAAAGTCTCGAAATTGCAGGGATGAAAAAATCAATAATGAAACTTAAACTTTCAGGCACTTTCATTTTAGAGAGATTTTGCACTTTCATTTTAGAGAGATTTTGCACTTTCATATTAGAGAGATTTTGCACTTTCACTTAATATTCCGCACGCTTCTGTAGGTAGGTTCTGCATAAGGTTTCTGGAAAAGCGAGGTTATTTTCTTGTGACTACGTTATTCAGAACTTAATTCCATGAGAGTGCCTAGTGCTACGTGAGAGTACAAAGTCTCTTAAAAATGTAAATTTTTTTATACAATTCTAATGAAGAAATATGACACAAGATTTGTACGTTAAATACATATTTGGTAACACGGCTTCGAAATGTGAAAAAATTTTGTTGAAAAACTAGGTGAATTGATGAATTAAGATTTATATGATTAAAAATGTGTTGCCCTTTAAATTTTGAATTTATACATGGGTGTCATGAGGTTTTATAGACAAAGGTAGTTTAAAATATTTTACAACAAAATAACTTATTTTCAGGATTCAAAAAGTAGAGTAGAAAACAATTCACATACATAAAATAAAAATTTAAGTTCATGAAAGATAGTTTTAATACAGAAAAATTTTAAGTTTTAAAATTAATTAGTAAAAAATTATCAGTTTAAAGTAATGAAAAAAAATTGACTTAATTTTAAAATTTAATTTTCTACAAAATGATATAAACTCTTTCACTACTTACTCTCGATTTAATTGGTAAAAGAATTTTATTGACACTATATTAGAAAGTACATTTTGCGGTTGAGAAAGTGGTCATATCTCTTCGTGGTAAAAAAAAGTTTTAATGTAGTTAATTACAAAAATATTTAGATTAATTGATTCTTGAACATATTATTTTTTTTAACTTTTATGCTACTTTTTTTAATTTTGAAAATTTTCCGAATAATAAACTGTTAGCCATATTATTAAAATATAAATATTATAATATAACATTTAATTTCATTAATCTTGAGTTGGATTTTCGGACGGTTTTGCTACTTCTTATTTGTTCAGAATTATGATATTTTCGAGGGAAAGTTACAAAAAAAATGTCATTGGCTTCTTACTGTTTTATCGCTACTTTTTTAAACTATGTACTTGCAGTTTTACTTTTAAATAATGCATGCTATTTCACAAAATCTACCTTTTTTTTCTTAAAAATTATAATGTCTTTTTTTTCTTCATCGTCTTAAATAAATGAAGGTGGAGGTGGTGTCAACAAATGGAGTTGGAACTGGGGTGGAAATAGTAAGTCCAAAAAGTTTTACAAATTATACAAAACTCAAATCATAACGTTAAAATTACTTCCAATTAGCATTTCAAACGATGAAAAGCATTTAAGAAAAGACTTTGCAGTGTAACAGCAAAGAGCACTTCAGAATGACATAATCATAACATTATTACACAGTTTTTTACCTAAGAAACTAATTGCATTTATACGATATGAGAAGTAGATTGCATTTTTCACTAATAATAATCTAACTAACAATTAAAACACTATTTAAACATTTAAAAGACAAATCACTCTATCCCCTTCCGCTCCAAAAAGAGAGTCCTAGAACCCGGCTTTAAGCTTTTAAAATAAAACCCTAAAACTTACCTCTTAAAAATTGCGTTCTTATTACGGTTGTAAGTTTTAATTTCATTCATCTTTGTCACACTTCTCAACAAATCAAGAAATCGTGGGAATCACTACACTTTTTGACGAATTTGTTATTTTTCACTTAAACGCTCCTTTTAACACAGCATTTTAGACTCAAAATCAAGCTCCACTCTTCAAATTTATAAAATGAAATCGAAAGCCTAGAAAGAATTACAAGATTGCAAGTATTTTTGATTAATCCTTATTATTTATTTATTTACTTTATTAATGATTCTCAGGCGCAATTCAAATAAATTGTATCATATTTTACTGATTTCCTTTCTCTTTAATGGGATATCAGTAAGTGATGTAGAGCGAGTCTCTCGATCCTGATTGGTTGTTGAAGCATGGCAATTGTTTACGTTAACAACTGTTCTCTCAATTCTATTTCGAGTAAGCCAAGTATCAATTCTCTTAAGTGACGCATTCCATATTCTTTCACAGAGATTTCGATTCTTTATCCATATGTTACGCAAAGACAGGCACGAAGCCATGCAGAACATAAATAAACTAATTAAGAATCGAAGTTGCCAGGTACACAAAACAAGATATATTACGGTTACAATAAAATGCATAAACGAATGATAAATCTAAAAGGTCTGGTTTCTTAGGACAAGCGCCTTATCTGAGCGTCAGCGGGACGTCAACGACTCGCTGACGCCAACAAAATATTGATTTGTTAGCTCAAGGCCTGGTTTCTTAGAACTAGCGTCTTATCTGGACGTCAGCAGAAAGTTGACGTAGAGCTGACGTCAAAAATTACTTTTTTGTTAGCTCAGCTTGAGCAGTCGGTCCAACGCAGACATTATCTCTCATTGCGCATGCGTTAATAACGTAAACAAATATTTATTTTGAATTTGTATTGATTTTGTTATTGTCGACTAGTGTTTTAGAGAACAAATAATGACTTTGTCCAAGAAAAAACACATTATAGCTGAGTTAAATGAAGAGTGATATGTTTAATGAAGAAGCTATGCTTAATGTCAAAATCAAAATCTTGGCTGATTTCAATTTGCTGTTGGATGTTGTCTGCCATTGCTTCTGTGGTTAACGTCACGTTGTAATCCAACTGCAGTTGAGTTGGACGGCAATTGTAGTTCAAGATGAGCGTTCAATGACGTATACTATCAAACTCACAAATAGACCAATCAGAGGTTAACGCTGATTTCCAGCTGACGGCGTCCTGTCCTAAGAAACCAGGCCTTAAGTAAAAGACGTAGACAAGCAAGAATCATATTTTTACAAATTTGATGCGCGATACGGAGCAGTATTTAATCATCTTCACGTCAATTAACATTCTAACTTAAATGGAGTAACTTAGCACAAATTTATCACTCCATTTTGTTTATAAACGATCAGCTGGAGCTGAAGTCATAGATCACGTGTCTGTGTATCAATGATAGTTTTCGCCTCGATTTGCAAGCACCCAATTTTATGTATGCATTCTTTTAGTGGAATTATTAACAAGTTTTTATGTTTTGTTTAAATATGTATTCATTATAAAATGGAGTTTTCTATATAAAAAAACCATTTCCTTAAACATATAGACAGCAAAATGAAAAAAAAATTTAGTTTAGGGTAATGAACAATATTTTAGTCTAAAACGTTTCAAAACGTTAGTGCAAAAAATTCAACTAGGCTAATAATTGAACTAAGGTTTGTTTAGCTAACTTAAGTATTTAACAAAACCAACGTGGAAATTTGCTTTGCAATGTGATCCGTCTCATTTTGGGAATATATGACAATGATATGGTAATTTGTTTGGCAAAAATGGGAATCAGAATCCTATAAATTCCATTGGATCCTATCTCGTATTCAATTATAATGCAAGTAAAAAAAAATTTAAAAAAAAAAAGAATGTGTGCATCAAGACCTTCAATCCGCAGACCAAATAAATGAGAAGATTTGGACGGAATCTCTTTTAATCTCTTCTCCTTCTCGCTCCCGTGGAAATGTATTCTATACATCACAAATTTTAACTAATTAACTCGACTTAAAAATTTATTAAAATTTTATAATTCTTTCAAAATTACACAATTTGAAATTAAAAAAATAAAATCCATAAAATACCCAGAATAAACAGTAAAAAGGAGCAAAAAGCAGACTTGCCCAATATAAAGAAAAGGTTAAAATATAAATAGACTATCCATCAGAGTTTACAAAGCACTAAATTTAATTGCCAAGCAAAATTTTTATCTTGCTCTTAGTCAACTATAAAGCGTTTTTGAAACTAAAAAATATTTTAGACTATAAAGATTTTAAAAACTTCAATTTTCAAAAGCTTAATGAAATTCTCAAGTAAAAACCAAATTCCGTAGTAATTCTACCTAGTAAGTTTCGCACTTTTTATTATAATTTATTTATCAAAAATTCAAATAAATTAGAAAATTTCCTGATTTAAGTTTATTAGTTTTTACTGTGTAATAACGTAATAAAACTGACGAAAATAAAATTTTTAAATATTAAAATATTTACTAATACTGCAAAAAAATATCAATATAACTGGTGTAACTCAAAGCTTGGAAGATTTTTTTTTAAAAAAAAGCAATAGCAAGTGTTAAAATTTAAATAAAAGACATGAATTTAAGAAGAACTTTTAATTATCTTTTAGAAGACGGTGGTGGTAAAGTTACTCTGTCACCCATTGAAAATCCTGGTAAGTAATTTATTATGTGATTCCGTACTATTACTTTAAATTAATTTAACAGTTACTGCTTATAACTCTGTAGCTCTGTCACCCATTGAAAATCCCGGTATGTTCCAGGTTTTTACTTTTTAACGCAGTTTTAAACAGTATATTATTCTTTATAAAATTTTTGAAGATTTCATTAGAAAATAGTTTTAAATCTTCCAGATTAGCCTTATATATTCGTCAAAATTTACCAGTAATAAAAAACCAAACATTTATTGACCACTATATGATTTCGTCCTAATATTTTGAGATTAAAAAACAATTATACCTGAATTACTTAATCCTTACTCTTATTATATCACCTGTATATTTATCTGAGCAGTTAATTTTCACCGTTTCTTAAATAACGTGTTGATGCTTGCGTGAATTTAATCAATTTATTTTCAAGTACTTTTCATGTATTTTAATCAGAAACGAAATTGAAAAAAAAAAGCCTAAACATTACATATCGATCTTTTAGAGTTTCTTCAACTTTAATAACTCAAATCATTTTTTAATATATTTTTAAGATTCCAAAATTCACAGTTGAAAAATCAATAATGGAGCTTGAAAAAGTAAAATCCTATGCAAGCCTATTCATTTTTTATCTGAAGTTATTATTTTAGAGACATTTTGCACTTTCACTTAACATCCTGCACGTGCAAGTCGTTTTGGAAAGTAAAGTTGTTTTGCTGTTACGTAACCCAGAACTCACTTCATGAGCATGTGGAATTCTACGTTAGAGAGCAAAATCTCGACAAAAAAAGGAAATTTTCTGATACATTGCTAATGCGGAAATAGAATGCAAGATGTGTACGTTGAATACATATCTGGTTACACAGTTTCAAAGTTTGAAATAGTTCTTGTTGAAGAACTAGATTAATTGATAGATTAATATTTGTGTGATTAAAAATGTTTTGCTTTTTGAATTTAGAACTCATATGTGTCAAAAAACTTGCAATCTCGATCATAAAACATGGGAAGTGGGGTAATTTTAAAACCATAGGTAGTTGAAAACATTATACAACAGAATAACTTACTTTTAAGAATCGATAAGTAAAGCGGGAAAAGAAGAGTGGAAAAACAATAAAAACAATTTTAAAAAAATTTAAATTGCTATAAATAACTTTAAAGAAGAAAAAAAATAAGTTTAAAAATTAATTAGTAAGAAAAATTATTTATATAAAGGAAGGAAAAATTGTTTTTATTAAAAATTTTATTAACTACAAAATGATGTGAACTCTCCCAATTGATTCTTGATTTTAATGGCTAAAGAATTTTATTGAGATCATGTCAGAAAGTACATTTTGCAGTTGAATAAGAGGTTATGTCTCTTCACTGTCAAAACGCTTTAAATGCAATTAATTAATTCTTTTAACAAAAACTTTTATATTAATTAATTTGTAAACTTTTTTTTCATTCTGCATACTGCTTTTTTTAATTTTATAAGTTTTCAGCTATTATCTATGTATTATCTATGTAAAATTATAATGTTAAATTATTAATGTTGTTTGAAACTTTATGGGCAGTTTGTATAATTTTGAATTCTTTAGAAAATATTCAAACTCTTCTTAATTTTCAATATTTTTTTCTAAATTTCAATCATAACTTACTTTTAAGAATCGATAAGTAAAGCGGGAAAAGAAGAGTGGAAAAACAATAAAAACAATTTTAAAAAAATTTAAATTGCTATAAATAACTTTAAAGAAGAAAAAAAATAAGTTTAAAAATTAATTAGTAAGAAAAATTATTTATATAAAGGAAGGAAAAATTGTTTTTATTAAAAATTTTATTAACTACAAAATGATGTGAACTCTCCCAATTGATTCTTGATTTTAATGGCTAAAGAATTTTATTGAGATCATGTCAGAAAGTACATTTTGCAGTTGAATAAGAGGTTATGTCTCTTCACTGTCAAAACGCTTTAAATGCAATTAATTAATTCTTTTAACAAAAACTTTTATATTAATTAATTTGTAAACTTTTTTTTCATTCTGCATACTGCTTTTTTTAATTTTATAAGTTTTCAGCTATTATCTATGTATTATCTATGTAAAATTATAATGTTAAATTATTAATGTTGTTTGAAACTTTATGGGCAGTTTGTATAATTTTGAATTCTTTAGAAAATATTCAAACTCTTCTTAATTTTCAATATTTTTTTCTAAATTTCAATCATATATTTCCACTTAACATAACTGAAAGTTGTTTTAACATTTTTCAAATGCTACTTGTAATTCTTCATTCTAATTTCTTTCTTTTTAATTATCCTGAATGAATAAAGGTAATGGTGGTGGCGGTAACAGATGGAATTGGAAATGGGGTCAAAATAGTAAGTTCTGACCACTTATTTTTATATCTGACAAAATTTAAATTTTAACTTTAAACGTAATACAGCAGTTCGAAAAAAAATCTTTAGAAAATTCATATTTTTATTTTGTTTAAAAATATTGCATTTGTAATTTTAACTGTTCTCCTACCGTAAGAAACACCAGTTTCCACAAGAAAACACTTGGGTCTGTTGTGAGAGTTGTTATGTTCATATGTGAATACTAAATTTAGAAACTTTCTCTTCTTTTTTTCTCTTTCCTTTTTTTATTCAAAAAATACCACAATAAAAACCAATGCTTAGGGGGAAAAATAATACTTATTAAAAATATGCGTTAGAGCTTAAAAAATTGAGCCTAAAAATATTATTATTATTAATACTATTTATAAATTCTAGAATATTTTTAACTACAAGAGCGATAAGCAGAATATCAAACTAAAACTGTTATTCTGGGTGCTAAAGATTAAGCGCAACAATCTTTCTGCATTTAAAGAAAATCAAAATTAAGGAGCGGATTTTAGTGTCATACGCAAGCGTTTCTCGTACCCCTCCATCCCTTATAAATAACTATAAGCAATACTTTTTGCTCTCCTCTGGGTACTTTCGTGTTATATATAATCCGTCTCATTTT